CTGACAGAGAGAGATAGAGAGAAAGAGCCTTCGACTTTACGACAAATAGACGCGTGCAAAGCATACTTTATGATGCTTGTTCATCATGTGCGTGTTTGATTCAAACGATATGTGCCGGTGTCAAAAGCAACAACGAAATAAGAGAATAAGTACGGCTAAAAAAGGAATCGATGTAGAGATAAAATTAAGAAATCGAAAACAAGGAAAGGAAGAAACAGAATAAAAGATGAACCAAACACATTCGCGCACCGAGGTCGAACGACAACAATGCCAAATCTATTACTGTTTAGTATTATTTTCACTTGAATGCGGTGAATATTTTTCATTTGGTTTGCCTTTTTCGGTGTGTAAACTACGATACAACGATTCTCATCAAGTTCGAATGGACCTTTTAACATTTTACTCATCGCATTTCGTTTTTCCTTCGTTTACAATTTATTCGCCGTTGAACGCACAAAATCCGCTACTTCAAACATCTTCTGGACATATGTGAATTTTGCCTGGAAATTGTTCGTATTTGTATTGCCTGTTGGTCAATATATTAGTGACCGCTCGATGTGCGTGCGTACATGTATGCGTCCATCATCACTCAGTCACTGTGCTACGCATTTATATAATTTTTCGCCTCACACACAATAACAATTTGTTGAAGTATTTTTTTTCTTCTTTTTTTCCAGATTTTTTCCACCCGCGTCGCTATATGCAACGGTGGGCATTTTCGCATTTCTTATTTATTCTGTTGCTTTTTCCATTCGAATTATAGTATTCGACTCACACCGAATCCGTATGTGTGTTGGACAGCCTATCGTCAAATTATTTGCTGTCTAGAGAATTTACAATGGAAAAACTTGAAATGAAAAAATATAAGTTTTCACACACGCATACAACTAAATGTATGTAAGGGAGCGAAAGATCATTCTTGCGCATTCTCTAGAGTTTGCCTCTTATACATCCGACACTTCTCATATATAACATGATTAACTATCTGCAGTAGTTTTAGATTGACTTTAAATTGAGTAAAATATTTGACAGCGGAATTAATGTTGGCCATTTTTGCCGAAAAACGATGTCCAAGAGTATAACAATTTGGAAGCTACGAAAACAAAATTAAATTGAATGAAAATGAGTGCCACAATGCTACTTCTTAAGAAGTCATTAATTGAAAACCATTGACATTTTCATGTCATTTAAATCTTAAAGAAACGTCAGATTTATAATTACAATCCTTGTTATTTTGTTCGTTTTTTGGAAATATAATCAATTGAACAATAGAAATTGAGTCGTTTCAATATTATATTGTAAAAAAATCGAAATTTACATCGAAAAAGATAAAAGACACCCACTAACGAACTAAACATTTCAAAGAATGTGAGTAATATGCGTCGAACAAAAGACGTATACCAAACATATATATTTGGCTTCTTATAATCGAGACATTGATAAAAACGAAAGCAAACAAAGTCGGTAGAAAATTTGGCTTATTGTAAGTAAAGCATTGTAAAAATAATGTTTTCGGTTTGCGTTGGTTGATTGAATTGAAGGGTCGGCATTAAAATAGAACGTTTTATCACATATTTATTTTCATATTTTCATCGATTTGTTGTTTTGCCTATTTTTCTATTACAATTTTTATGTATCGAAAGAATTCGTAACTTTTGTGTCATTTTCACTTGGGATGTCGATGTATGTTTCGCTGCTGTTGCTATTGCCGTTTATGGCAAAGTGTGTGCATTTGACGGCCCTTCTATAGATGGCTACAACAGATACATACCGATTTTATTTGTACTTTTCAGCGGACGCAACAAAGCAAATCTACACACTTTTCAACTGTATATGTGGCGGATGTGTTCGGGTGCGTGCGCGCGTCCGCTTCTATCGTCTTTATTTTCGCTAATTTTTCTTCTTTTCCTTTTTCTTCTCATTCTTTGTTGGCTCGGTTCGTCTTCAATACACTCATTTTTCCATCTAAACAAAACTCACACAGACATTAATGATCATACTCATGCTTTCGGTTTGAGCGTAAATGTAGAGCCTCCCTCTGCGCATTTTTTTTCTAATTAGTTTTTTTTTATATTTTCACATATATTTATATCGTTTCAATATGTGTTGCGATGGCCACCACTCACTCTCCTTATCTCCCCTCTTCTCTTTACTGATAAACAATTTTGATGAATTTTTCGTCATTTTTCCCAATACAATGCGTCAATAAATCAAGAATGATTTGCTTTGTGCAGCGTTTTTGATAATAATTTTTTTAGCTCAAGATGAATCTCTTAATATTTCGTCGGGAGGAATACATTTTCTTTTATGAAATATCGATTTTCATTCTTTCAACGCACGCTGGATTATGCTCGAGGGACATTTGCCGATTTCATAGGCACTGATAAATTTTTCCAATCATGGAACAAATTTCAGAACTCAACAATATCACTTCCTTTATATTTTACACAATTTTTTTTTTAAACTCTACATAGAAAATTGGATAAATGTTCGTTTTTCGGTTCTTCGTTCTGGGCTTGAAAAAGGGATTTTTCTTTCTCATTTCGGTTTGTGACATGCCAAATTATATGCATGGAACTTTATTTAAGTATCAAAATCACTGAAATTACTAATCGCTTTCAAAACCTGTTCTGTTTCTGATTTTCACACTGGAAAAGGTATGGATACATTTTAGCGGCTCCCAAAATCCAAATCACATTGCATGATTCGTGCAGCATAAACTTGTTTGCATGATATTAAAAAAATAGTCAAACACACGTGTACACAATACGCTGAATTCACAAACGTATGAATCGAAAAGTAGAAAAAAAAAACAGAAACATTTCTGCTCAATTGCCTTTCATGAATTTCAGATTATGAAAACAGATTTAAAAGTAAATTTAGTCGGTATCGACCATTTCTATGGTTTTTCATTCATTTTTGGACGGAAAACTTTTTTTGCAAAGTATAATCATTAATTCGTTTTTTTTCATGCCACACAAACATCGAAAAAAATTTAAATACGCTAATCGTTGAATGGTAAAATCGATTGCCAATTTTGTGGGTTTTTCAGTTTATGCAAGTGAAACGTAGTTTTACGAAATGTAAGTAGTGAATAACATTGAATTTCATTGCGCTTTTTCCACATTAAATCCGTTAACGATCCAGTAAATTGAATTCAAACAGATTTACCAGACATTCCTTATCATTTAAAATTTAAAGCGCACATTCACCTAAATATTATCGACTCACTGTAAGTGACATAAAATTGGTAAATGAAAAAAATATTAAATTTTTTATTTTCTATGGACACAATCACACACACACACACACACACACACACATAAAAGAAGAATCAAGATCAACAACAACATCAATTGAGTTTAACATTAGAGTAATTGAAAAGTAAAAACAAAACAGAGAAAAAATGTGTGAACAAGAATAAAACTTACAGAACTTCACTGGACGTTATATTTAATTATCATTCCGACACAAAACGCGCGTAAGTTTGGCGATGCCTAAAAACTGGCCACCACTTCTTGTTCGCGTACGCGTATTTTATAGACTAAAATGAACGATATTCGGTACGAATCTATAGCGAAATAAAAATTGTTTGTTTGAAAGAAGAAGGATCGGATACACACATACACCGTTGAAACGGCTAGCTACCGAAAAATTGATACGGTCTGCACACGGCTTCTCTGTCCAACTTGTTATTTTCTTCTTTTGCACTTCCCTTCTCTTCCCATACACTTCTCTCGCTCTCTTTTTTTAATATTATTATTATTATTGTTATAACTGTTGTTTTTCCTATATGTGAAAACGGTCACTTCGTCGTCGTCATCGTCGTTGTCGTCGCCGTGTTGATTTCACATACAAGTGGCCAACTACCACCAATAGTCTCATTTATGTGCGCACGGATATATATAAATCGTCGAAACATACTCGCCGTATGTGAAATTGAGAAATCGAGAGTTTTTATGTTGTCATATGGTACGAGCACCGCATTCGATTGTGTACTACATTGTGTATTAGATTTTTCTGTTGCTCGATGGTCGCACCGTAAACTGTTCTTGTGTTTTTGTATAAATCTACTATTCGCTTGTGTCACACATGAACAACTAACTGTCGGATGCCCGCTGTAATTCACATTCTTTTTTATTTGATATCGCTTCGGCATTGTATGTTCCACCAACGTCGCCGCCGCCGCCGCCACCACCACCAACGATACCGTCACTTCATCCCTCATTCATTCATACACACAGTACACACAAGTGAGTGTGTACACATACGCACACTTTCCATTTCTTTTCATACATACATTCGCTTTCTCTTTACACGATAAACTTATTTACTTTTTTTTCGGAGTCGGCATTTAACTAATATTTTTCATTTCGGCATTTTGTAGATGGAGAAACACACATATAAAATGCGCACTGTGTGCTTCGGAGGTGCTCAAAAAGCATACACAAACTCACTTTCACTCATACATTCGCACACAGTTTTTTTTCTCAAGTGAAAATAAAATATGGAAAAAATATGAATTTTACCAATAAAATTGCGATGGCACAGTAAACACTCGGTGTTGCGACACAGTTTCGAAAATCCTGTTAGATGGATTGAACGCAAAGAATAAATTTCAGTAAATCGAGTGAATACTGTAACTCATCACTAATACTTGTTCATTTAAGGGAAAAAATTCATATAAAAATTGTACCAACAATCTTTGTGTGGTTCGCTCTGTCTCTTTCTAACCGATTGTCTGTTCTGAAAAATCTCTTTGGAAAAGAAAAAAAAATATTTGAAGTTTATGATCGCATTTAACATTGATTATTGCCACAATATCTGATGTATATCTCAAATGGCGAGCAACAACGAAAGCTTACCAAAATCAAATGATTTTAAACGCAACGCTACTTGTTTTCTGTATATTGTCTCAGACATAGTCAAGTCAGCACATTCATTTTATGAACAATAATAATTTTGACAACGATAAAAGTGAATGCGATAAAATTTGGCTCTAAAATCTTTATTTTTCTTTTTTTCAAAATAAAATATATCAACGTACAGTGTTTTTTGTACGTGCTAAAGTACAATTGAAAACTAAAAAAAAAATATTATAACATAATGTTATTAATAATACAATTTTCGATTATTTCACATTCTATCAAATTTCATTATTTTTGTTTGGTCAACTCTTTGTAATGTTCTACGCTGCCAAACTCAACATTTGGTTGTATTTCTGGAACGATCTCTTTTGGCGGTTCAACTTCTTCTAATTTTTGTGCGGTTTTTTGCGTTTTCTTTTCCTTGATTTTGCTTCGTACTTTATTGGCCAATTTTGCCGTTGCTAAGACTTTACTCACTTTATTACCTCTCAACCAACGCTTATCCCATGATTCATCCTGATGCAAATAAAAATGAGATTAAACGTTTTCTTTTATTAGAAATATTTCATATGCATTGTCAAATAAAAATATAACTTCAACTTGTGGGGATTTCAAGGATTCAGCATATGCAGTAAAATATACCTTTGGCTCAGGTGACTCTATGGGCTCTTTTGCTTTGCTACGGGTTTGACGTGTTGATTTCTCTTCTGATTTCATCGCGTTCAATTCAAGTTGTTCAAAATCGAGATCTTCATCTTTGCCCAAATCGATAATATCCTCGTCATCATCGTCGACGTTGGATTTTTTGCTTGTTGGCGATTTGGACTTTGATTCGCTGCTTTCCGACTCACTCACGCTACTTTTACCACTTTTTGTCTCTTCAAAATCTGATTCATCCGAATCATTACGTCCTGCGTCGGTTTCCACCACGTTTGAATTTCTCGAATCTGTTCCTTCGTTTGCATTTTCATGTTCATCCGGCTCTGTAGTAGGTTGCGGCTCTGGACTTTCGGCAATCTCCAAAATTTCTTCATCTTCAATAATTTCACCATCTTCCATTTCTACTGTGATCTCATCTGGTTTCTTGCCTTCGCTTGGTTTGTTGCGTTCCGTTTTCTCTTGTGTTTCCACATTTACAACGTCATCAGCCGTTTTTCCGTCCTTACTTGCATTAGCCTCTGCTCTCCTTTTCGCTTCAGATTTCTCTTTAATTTTCAGTAAAAAGAGTTCATCCTCTGTCAAATAAAAATGAATTTTGAGTTAATTAAAAACAAACTTACAATCATGTGTTTTATATGGTTAAAAAAACTGACCTGTTGGTGGTCGCACCACTTTCTCAATAACTGGCATCGTAATATAACTTCTCTTTGTTTTATTTTTCTCTTTCTCGTTCTTCTTGTCTTCATTTTCCGAATCACTGCTAGAAATACACAGAATTTCGGGTTCGGCTACTATCGGTACCACATCATCATCATTGGGAATTGTTGCTTCTACGCTTTTCTCCGGTGATTTTTCCTTTTCCACAATTTTCTCGGGCGATTTTTCAATTGGCAGTTTTCCATGATTATTGTGGATTTCCTTCTCATTTTTATCGCCTGACTCTTTTTCCGTAACAGAGCACGACCCATCAGATTCATAATCTTCCATTTGTCGTTGACGGAAATTGCGCTTTAAACGAACCGGCTTTGTGGCCGGAACTTTTGGTTCCTCCGCCAATTGTTTTTCACTGACTCTCTCATTTTGCTTACTATTACTTTGTGATGCCGTTGTCGATTTTGTTCTCGGTTCCTTCTCTTTTTCTTTGTCGGTCTCTTTGCTGGGCGCTTCATCGGAATCATCCAATTCTATCTTTGTAACTGGTTCGAGTGCCAATTGGCTACGGATCGCGCGAGCACGTGCCTGTAGTTCCAGCAACTCCAAAACGGAATATTGCTTTTCACCATTCTGCTCGGATGGATTTTCAGTGGATGCGGTTGCTTTTGGCGTTATTTTTGACAAAGAATCTAAAAGAAAAGAAGAATAAATTTCAATATGATTTCAAAAATTAAATGAAATAAATTATTAACCTTTCTTTAATTCACGCTTCTTTTTCTTTTTCGGTTTACTCAGTTCATCATTTGAGTCGGATGAGATTTCTTCCAATGAAATATGCTCTGCAAGAAGGACAGACGTTCAATTTTTGTGCACAAGATATATGCATTGCTCACTATGGGACTTACCTTCAATTTTCTCTACATCAGATCCAGAGTCAGACGATTCAGTGTCTGTGGGACATTTTGTCGCATTAATAATTGCCATCAAGCGTTTTTTGGATATGCCCAAAACTTCTTCAAGACAAATCTCTTGAATTTCTTCCAATTGTTTTTCCTAAAAGGAGTTTATTTATTGAAAACTTGAATTGAATTTGAATAAGGTTGATGATAGTACCTGCAAAAATTCTGGTATGATTGATTCAATCGTTTTGGTTTTTAATGAACCGAAAATTTGTTTTATTAATTCTACCGGGTCATCGACATAATGTTCCAATGATTTGAGTTCATCTGGTTCACGTTTTATTGACAATAATGATTTCTTTTCCTCTTTTATCGACTTCTTTTCTTCTTTAACCGATTTCTTCTTGCGATTTTCGGTGGGCATCTTCTCCACATAAAAATATCTAATCGAACAATATTTAAAATACAATTTCAATGCAAACAATAAGGTGTGTATATCAGCAATTTTTTTTCTTATAAACAATAATTATGTGTCGGTTTAGTTGAAATGTCAAACGATAAGTGACAGTTCATGTTCGAATATTTGTGTAAGTGTGTGCGAGCGGTTCAGTTTCGAACTGACAGTTCACCGATAAAAAAAATTAATAATTGGTTTCCATTTTTTCATCTGCGTTCGGCACAAGTACGAAAAGAAACAAAATGTTTTTGGCACGACGAATTCCTGCTGTTATCAGGTAAGAAATACATTAAAAAAGCGCATAAGTGCCAACTGAAATGATGAATATATTGTTTTCTTCTTACATTTTCTATGAACATACAGCCGCAATGTATTTTCTGCCGGTTTATTGCCTGCAGCACAAAAGCATACATTGCCCGCATTGGGATATGATTACAAAGCACTCGAACCAATTATTTCGGGTGAAATCATGGAATTGCATCATTCCAAACATCATCAAACCTATATCACCAATTTCAATGCGGCCGAAGAGCAATTGAAAGATGCCGTACAGAAGAATGACACTTCAAAAGTAATTGCGTTGCAAGGTGCATTGAAGTTCAATGGCGGCGGTCATATCAATCACTCGATTTTCTGGAAAAATTTGAGCCCAAACAAATCCAAACCATCAAGCGATTTACATGGTGAAATCGAAAAAACATTCGGCAGTTTCGAGAATTTCAAGAAGGAATTCACCACTGCAACAGTTGCCGTACAAGGAAGCGGATGGGGATGGCTCGGTTTCAATAAGAAAAACAACAAAATTCAAATCGCCACATGTTTCAATCAGGACCCATTGGAGGCTACAACAGGTAATGATGACAATGGAAACCGATGACAAGTATCGAGGCGCTGACAAATCTTAATCTTACTTATTTCTTAGGTTTGGTGCCGTTGCTCGGTGTTGATGTCTGGGAGCATGCCTATTATTTACAGTATAAGAATGTTCGTTTGAACTATGTTGAAGCAATTTTCGATGTAGTCAACTGGGAGGATGTCAGTCAACGTCTTGCCGCCGCTAAGGGCAATTAAGTACCAAACACTTTTGCATTGACCAGTTATAGGATTGATGATTTTGAATAAACCTATTTTTTCAATAAAAAAAATGTGAAATTTTCCAATCAAATTGGATGCATACTTTAAAAGTCAAATGTAATAAAAGAATTATGCTTTATTTAAAATGTGTTGATTATGTGTCGATTACGCAACACTCTTTGCAAAATAACCTATGATTCCTACAACATGAAAAAAATGAAATGTTTTCCATTTTATGAAAATTCTTCATTCGGTGCAATTAAGATTGCATGTCAAGTCAACTTTATGAGCAAATTTTGTGTATTTACGCAGCACCAATTGAAATGTATATGCATTTTGCTTAGGCATTCATTTCGAACTCTGTACAAAACAACATGTTGTCCGATGAACTGTCAAATGATCTGACACTTTTATGTAAGAAAGCAGTACCGGCTCAGTTTCGAATGTCACATATGTCTATAGAATCGAAAGCTGTCAACTGCTGCAATACACTGAACACAATATACATATAAACACGTGGGTCATCGTTGCCTTGTTCAAGCGAATTATTGAAATTTTACCCGAAATTTGAACGTTTTCAATGAAATTATTGTAATTATTGTAAATTTTCGAAAATCTGTCGTTGTGTAAAAATCCCATCACCATGAGTTCGTCGTCATTTTTCTTAAAAGGAAAGCCAAAATCGGCAAAAAAGCGGAAGGTATGTCCATGAACCAGTTCCAAATCGTGAAATTGTTTATTCAAAATTTTCTTTTATAGATGCCATTGGATAGTAAATTTGGTAAAAAGAATGAATTACCAAAACCGCCAAAAGTTGATCAAACCGAAGATGACGAAGAGATTCACAGCTCTGATGAAGATGAAGAGAATATGGCAACGGAACAGTTTTCGGAAGTTGAAGATGAAGAAATTGCCGAAACTCCACAAGATAAACGGCTAAAATTGGCCAAATTGTATTTGGAGGAAATAGAAAAAGAGGAAAAAAGTCGAGCCGAAGATCGGGAACTGTTGGAAAACAATGTGTCACAACGTTTGACTGATGAATATTTGGATAGCATTGGTAAACTACGGAGAAAAGTAGCCGAAACCTATACAGGATATGATGAAAAGAATATAGTACAAGTAAAGCATAAGTTACACCAATTGCCGGTGACATGTGTTTGTCTAACGGCCGATAATAAATTTCTGTTTACGGGAAATAAATCAGCCATCGTGCTGAAGTGGAACTGTGACAGCATGAAAGTAATCGGCAACATTGATTGCAATGTTGGGAAGAGTGTTGATGAAATTGAAAATAGTAAGAAGAAACGACGACCACAGACCTATGCACTGGCAGTCACAACTGATGGCAAATTTTTGGTAAGAAGATTTATTCACATTTTTCTCGTTTCTTTTGAAACAAACAAATCAAAATTTATTTCGTTTTTATCTCAGGCAATTGGCGATATGAGTCCATACATTCAAATCTGGTGCTGCGAAAAATTGACACATTTACAAACATTCAAGGGACACCGAGATATTGTTACATCATTAGTATTTCGAAAAGATACACATGATTTGTATTCAGCAAGCAGAGATCGTTCGGTAAAAATTTGGTCACTCGATGAAATGGCATACGTTGAAACACTGTAAGTTGGACTATGAAAATGGAAAAGAAGTAACTATTTAATGAAAAAAATCTTGTGGAATTTCACTAGGTACGGTCACCAGTCAGCGATAACCTGCATCGATGCATTGTCACGGGAGCGTGCCATTACAGCTGGTGGTTCGGATCGAAGTGTACGCATTTGGAAAATTGTCGAAGAATCACAGCTAGTGTACAATGGCCATAGTGGCAGTATCGATATAGTCAAATTAATCAACGAAGAGAATTTCATTTCGGCTGGAGACGATGGGTATGATATTCTACGTCTGCTTTTTGTTCATGTTTTTTTTAACTGGTTATGTTTCAAAATATAGGACGCTTTGTCTGTGGAGCGCAATGAAAAAGAAGGCATTATGTTCCAAGGAGTTGGCTCACGGAAAATCTGATGAAAATGATCAAGCCAATTGGATTAGCGCAGTTGCGACATTGATCAATACAGATATTATAGCTTCAGGTAAAATACAGAATCACATCATTTCAAAATGCTTGCATCACATTCATTGAGCTTTTCTTTCTTGTTTCAATAGGATCATGTGATGGAGTGATTCGATTATGGAAATTGGGTGAAAATTATCGAGAAATGTCGCTTTTGTTTGAGGTGCCTGTCCGAGGTTTTGTAAACAGTTTAGCGTTTACAAATGATGGAACAAAATTGATAGCGGCCGTTGGCCAAGAGCATCGATTGGGCCGATGGTGGCGAATCAAGGAAGCCAAAAATTCCATCATAGTTATACCATTGTTGAAAAAATCCTCATAAAATGAAAGACTATGTATCCAATTAATTGTTAAAAAGATTAAATAAAAATAACAAATTCTATATTTTTTTCTTATTTCCAATTGATTTTTACTTTATTTCGGTACTTCAATGCAATTTTTGAAACAAAAACAAAAACCATGTGTAAGAACCATTGATCAAACAATTCGTTATGATGAAATTCTATTTCGGAAAGTTTTATACAGTAAAGATTTCTCAGTGTGTTTTTTTTCTTGCTATTGATTTAATTTTTTCGTTTATTTTGGAGCCAATGCGTTTAAATCAGCAATGCATTTGGACAAAGTTTCTTTGTCTTGATCGGGTGTAATGCTGCCAAGTACTTTGTTTGTAACCCAATTAACCAAGTGCTTTTGTTTAACACGACGTTCAACCAATTGAATGTCAACTTGGTAGTCCAAACGGCGTTTCACTTCATTGAACACATTTGCCAATCGTTCACGGTAAGCGGCTTCCAATTGCAATGCAACATTTTCTTTTTGGGCATCGTTCAACAACAATTGACCATCAGCACGCCATTGTTCTTTCTTTTCGCTTTCGATTGCTTCTTCATTGGCGGCAATGTCATCTCTGCGACCCTGTTCCCAATCGGCTTCGTATTGATCGACTTCTGCGTCCAATGATTTTTTGACAGCTGGACCGAATTTCTTGATACCGATGATCAAAAGGGCGAAAAATGATATACCGGCATAGTATTCGTGTTCCATGACATAGATTTCTTTCGATGCCAAGTAGGTGAACAATGATGCACCGAAAACGTATGGACCAGACACACCAGTTTTTTTGTAGAAGAATTGGAACCTGAAAAACAACAACAACAACAACGGTAACAGTGTTGAATTCAATGTCATCGCTTTTGATAATAATTTAGCTACCATTCCTCTGGGATGAATCCATAGCGAACGGGGGCTGCTTCGATTCCACGAACTGGACGTTGGTAACCAACTTCAGTTGGTGTTGATGCAGCAGCAGCAGCCGATGAGGTCGACGATGTTGTGCTGGTTGCTCGAATTAATTGATTGAGCGGTTTGCGAACTAAAAAAAATTTTTCGTGATAAATATATTCTTTCGTTAAATTTCTGTTTGATAACAATTCAATTTAGCATCCTTTACAAAATATAAACCGAAAATATCTTTTTTTCAATATCAATGGGGTGACTGTCATTTGTCTTTTCAATCATAACCAATAGTGATTACATAAACTTTATTCACCACCGGAATGAAGTGTGCACGATACAATCACATTTTTACGGTCTTAAAATTCACAAATAATATATTAACCATTTGCGTGTTTTGTAATTTGTGGAATTTATGTGTTTACTCACCTTGGAAGACGCTAGCCCGTGACAACATTTTGATTTTAAATTATTTTTAATGAAATAATCTTCGACGTCCCAAGTTATCTATGAGAAGAAAAATATGTCTAATTTTTTATTCAATGCTACCAACTGTATATAAGTGACATCTAAAGACAGTATAGAGCAATAGCAGATGGCGCCCATTATGTCAAATCATTAGTACAGATATTCGAATTTAGCTCACAACACGTATATTCGTAAATATTGTATGAAGTTTTTCTTTTTTTTAACATAAAGTAAATAAGTTTTAAAAAAAAGTTATTATTTTTGTTAATATTAGACAAGTGACAAAAGAACAGAAGACGAACACTTTCAACCAGCGAAAATTGTTCATTTAATCATTAAAGTATCATTTTCGAAATTGATAACAAGTACTAAACGTAATTTGACATTGCAACGAGAAGTGATTGATAAAAATATAAAACGTAAGTCAAAACTTAAAAGTGTTTGTTTGAAACTATTTATTATTGAAATATCCATTGAAATCGAAAAGAATAATGGGTACCGGATGTTCATCGTGTCTAAAAGGGGATGAAACAGTTGTTGTTCAACCAGATACGGTAGGTTCACTTGCTTAAACACAAGGACCTTGTTGTTTCTTCACACAATTAATTTATGTGAATTTTTACTATTAGGCTGCCCGACGTCAAATGCAAATGGAAGCAGCCGAACGTCGACGACAAGAAAGTGAAAATCGTGGCATCAAAAATCCGGAAAAAGTGCGTCAAATGCAAGAACGAACCGCAAGAATAGAAAAACAGGAGATTGAAGCAGCTAAAATGGGTGAACCCACCCTACGGGTAAACATCCATATTTATAAAGAAAAAAACCAAGCCTGAAGCCCAAATATAAATGTTTTTCTCTATTTACAGTGGACATCTGATTGAAAATAATGTTTATTCCATCGAATTGCACATCCAAAGAAAGTTTACTTGCACTGTGCACTGTGATAATCCAGCAAATTGTGAAACTCAGCCGTGGATCTTGTTTTTATCTAAAAAAATTGATTAAATGTTCAACTCGTCTATATAGTATTTCAATTGTTCTTTTGCCAAAAATATTCTATCATTTCTATATGCGCGTAATCGAAAGTCAAAAGTGATTCATGCATTTTGGACCATTTCCTCTAAGAGATAACGGTTTTAAGCCGTTCAACACACGTTTACCATTGATATACCATTTTTTATTAATCTACATCTTGTTACAACAATAAAACGTCATTTTAAACAAAACAAAAAAAGCATCTTGTTTGAATCATTGTTCGCTCACACTTTGGTTTGTTTTGGTTCTTACGTCGATTTGTTATCCAATTTCGAATATTCTTATTCGAAAAGAGAGGGAGAGAGAATAATAGTTTGACAGTTCTCTGTTCAACATACACAAGCACACAGTTGTGCTGAGGTGTGTGCGTATTTGCGGTTTTATCACACGTTAGGCTACTTGCATTTCTGCATGTGTCGAACATACAAAATTGTCGGCGTTTATCTAACGGAGAGAACAACATTTTTTTATTAAACTCATCTAGAATATTGTAACTATCACATCTCATAGAAGCCCCAAATCGAATGCCAATCAATTGATTTGAAACGCACAAATAAAAGGAAACAAATCGATTAGATGTGTATTTATTTGAATATCACTCAGTGTATATAGTATATTTTTTTGTTAAGGAAAGTGGTTTGGGTGCGTGTGATAGCAACAAAAAGTGAAATTGCATTTTTGTGTATCACAAAATTGTGCTATTGTCAATTGTTCAACGCTCAAAGTACAAACGTTAAATTTAAATCGCCAATATGCTTGAACCGCCAAAGGAATCTCAGGTTTGTAATATAAAATATATATTTTTTTCAAAATGATTTTTAAAATGATGATTTTTATTTGTGGAACTGTTCAGTTTTTTTTAATTTTCGATGTATTATTAAAATAATCCAAATTTAAAAAGTATTCAATTAAGTTAGAAAGTTTTTGTGATTTTGACATTGTAAAAAATTCGATCCGATAGATGCCCTTCAATCGTCCTTCTCTCATTGACGTCCAAATATATCTTTACGACGCTTTTGCAGCGATGATTGAAATGCAGAGGGGAAAATCGACTGAAATTGCAAAGAATTCTTTCGGACAAAATCTCATGTGGAGTTTTTCGATTCAATGTTACGCACAAAAATTACAAAGTTTAAGAATGTAATCAAAACAACAATTTCAAAAAATGATATTTTATGATAGAGAAAAAATGCGGATATTCTTGTATAGAGTTGAACAATTAACAATTCAAATACAAGCAACGAGTTGTTTTTTTAAATTGTCAATTGGCTTATTTATAGCCTACAACAAAATTGAAATTGTTTGCTTGAGAGCGTGGTCTTTGCGTGTGATATATAATTAAGTACACTTATCATAAACACAAATTTCATTCACTGAAGATATTTGTGATGCGCAACGACGTCAACATATAGTATTTATCTTTTGCGTGGCACGCACCAGCCCGTTTGTTTGCACGTGAGTGACTATGCTCAAATTAAATACTTACAATAGATGCACTGTGTATCGTTCGTATCAATATAGGAAGATAAATTGCGGCTTAATTTGTTGGCAAGGACAAGATGCGGTTTTAAATTTAGAATATTTGCTGTTATATCTTTTTAAGACAAAATGCGGCGACCTTTGCAAATTACACATAGACAGAATTTAAATATAAACCAGCTGTTCAATAATTTATTCAGCCAATCTACGTTTCGATTCAATTGCAAACAATTATGTTCGTCCCTATGCCGAATTCAGCATTGTGACATTGTTTTAGGTCATGTTCAAAACATTGTATGATATCACCGAATCAACGGCTGATTTTTCGAATATTTGAATGAACCCTTGGGTTTTGTTACATCGGAACTACATTATCTACATCAGACGAATGCTAAGTGTAAATGCGCTTATCAATTTATTCCAAAAATGTCCATTATGATAAGAACATCAACACAAATGAAAACAATTTAAAATATATATGTGTTCGAACACACTCTATACACATACGAAACCCTACTAATGGAATCGTCCAAAAATACAATTGTATTTTGTTGCCACGAAACAAATACATTGAGTATTCCTAAAAGCTGGAGTTAATAGAGATAATGATTACATATAGCGTCGTAAGATCTGTGCTGATTTATTTTTTTCTCTGTCTGTTCTATTGCCGATCGCCAAGTATAAATTGTGGTCTGTGAGTGAAGCCAATCGATTGATAACTTGACAAATAATACCGCGATAAAAATATTGGTGACAGAGACAACAAAACAGCCGCTATATTGGGGCGCTTCGTCCGACTCGAAATCCAACTGTTGTACAATTTACGGCATCCAGTCAAGTGACGACTTTATTCCAGATCGCTCATAAATTCAAACGACTCCGTTTGCGAATCAGAATCAATTTATTTCGTCTAGTTCGTATTTTGAATATCGCTGCACATGTTGTTGAGTGCAATTTTTTTTATATTCGCAATTTTAAGTATTTCGGCCATTTATTGTTGTAGTCGCGATTTTGATCCGTCGGACTTTTGAAAGATATCGTTTCACTTTCACATTTTCAACGAAATACTTGAAATTTTTTCAACAAAATGCCAGGACCAATGGATATTTTAATGAGCCAAGTAAGTGTGGGATTTTCGAAACAATTTCGAATCAATTGACATCAAACCCAATAAAATAGTCAAACTGTAAAGAATTTGTGTTTTTTTTTTCGAAAAAGAAAATAATACAATTGCACATGTTTGTCTAACATAGATGATTTTTTCATAACAATACAATGGTGTCACACGCTGAAAAACACGTTTCTAGACACCTGTTCTCAATTCACAATTGATTGTTTTTTTTTTTTTATAAATTAATAATAAAATCAAAATAAGACGTAATTATTTTCATCGCCGAATTATTGTCTCATAAAACTGATATAAGTAATAATTATTTTGATGGAAAATTCAGCAAAAGATCGGCTTATAATATAGAAAAACAAAAACATGTATTTTTTTGAAAATATGGAAACAAACATCCTTTGAAAAATGCGAATCGGTATATTTCTTTCAACCAGATAACATAATTGTACGTATTAAGCAGTATAGTCAGACGAATGTGATGCCATTTGACACTACGATTGTGACGTTATTGATAACGACCTTTTCGAGATTTGCTCGATTTTGTGTGCTCCACTTTTCTCAGTTGCCCTTTAAACATATTGAATTTTTCTTTTTGTCAAACAAAGTTTTAAGTCATATTTTGTAACAAACAAAGTTCTTATCAAGGTTATTTAATTGCCGTTTTTTTACTACTTCACAATTGCATATCATTCAATCATTGAAAAATGTTTGGATTATACGATAATAGTATTTTTTGTTATGTCATGCCATGATGACAATTAATATTTTTATTTTCGTTTAAATGTTCCACCAGATAGTAGAAACAGCAAGATAATAGAAATAATATGCTTCAAAGAGCAATTTTGTATCTCCGCATTTAAGCTATAAAGCGATCTTTTTTGTTATAGCTAATCATATAATTTATATATATGCTATGAACAGGTTCGCGGCCACCAACGCAATGCATCCGACACAAAGGAATTTCATGAGGTTACTAAACGAGATGCACTGATGCATTTTGAACTTGAACTGAAGACTTTATTGAACACCGTCAAATCGAACGAACTTCAAAGTTTCTATGATAAGGAAATGCAACGATTCGCCGCGTTGTTCGGACGTTTTTTGCAAGAAGAGGGTCCATCGGTTGAATGGGATAGAATTCAGAAATTACCTGCCGACGCTGTTAAAGACTACGCAACACTTTCAGCACCAAAAAATGAGAGCATTGTAAGTTCATTTTTGTGAAACGTCTTTTTTCCATTCTGATCATGTTGGACCAACTTATTTTTTAAAAAAATCCATAGATTCGTGAACATTTGAATAAATTGGTGGTAATCAAACTGAATGGTGGTCTTGGTACATCAATGGGTTGTCATGGTCCAAAATCGGTGATTCCAGTGCGTAATGATCTTACCTTCTTGGACTTGACCGTACAACAAATAGAAACATTGAATAAAACATACAACGCCGACGTCCCTCTAGTCTTAATGAACAGTTTCAACACAGACGATGACACAGAGAAGATTATCCGAAAATACAAAGGTTTTCAAGTCAAAATCTATACATTCAATCAAAGTTGCTTCCCACGAATTTCACGCGACTCAATGTTGCCAATTGCCAAGGATTATAATATTGAAAATGACATGGACGCGTAAGTTTTCTTTTTTTTTTAGTCCAATTGATTTTAATTTACATCGGTCATTGTCTCTCTCTCTCTCTCCCACTATAGATGGTATCCACCTGGACACGGTGACTTTTACGAATCGTTCCAAAATTCTGGATTGTTGGACCAATTCATTCAGGAGGGCCGTGAATATTGTTTCCTGTCTAACATCGATAATTTGGGTGCAACCGTTGATTTGAACATTTTGAATAAATTGCTTTGCGAAAAAGGCTCGAATGGCAAGCCCATTGAATTCGTTATGGAAGTGACAGATAAAACGCGCGCCGATGTTAAAGGTGGCACCTTAATTCAATACGAGAACAAACTTCGGCTGTTGGAAATAGCTCAGGTACCAAACGAACACGTTGACGATTTCAAATCGGTGAAAACGTTCAAATTTTTCAACACCAACAATATTTGGGCCAATTTAAATTCGATGGAACGTGTTTTGAATGCAAGAACATTGAACATGGAAATTATTGTAAACAATAAAACACTGGACAATGGATGCCGTGTTATCCAATTGGAAACAGCCGTCGGTGCAGCTATGAAATGTTTCGAAGGTGCCATTGGAGTGAATGTGCCACGGTCTCGTTTCTTGCCCGTCAAAAAGACATCCGATCTATTGTTGGTCATGTCGAATTTATACAGTTTGAAAGGCGGCTCATTAGTTATGTCACCGCAAAGAATGTTCCCAACAACACCGCTCGTTAAGCTCGGCGATAATCATTTCAGCAAAGTCAAACAATTCTTATCGAGGTACTTTTATTCATCTATTTTATGTTTTTATGCCGGAGTCAAGGACATGACTAAATAGTTCATTTACAGATTTGCAAATATTCCGGACATCATTGAATTGGATCACTTGACGGTTTCGGGTGATGTAACATTTGGTCGCGGTGTTTCATTGCGGGTAATTATCACTTTTGCGCATAACAAACAAACGCAAATTAAACGGAATTTTTAATCTTATCATTTTTGTCGTTTCGTAAATAGGGAACTGTTATCATCATCGCGAACCATGGAGACAGAATTGATATACCAGCTGGCGCCATTCTTGAGAATAAAATAGTCTCTGGCAACATGAGAATCTTGGATCATTAAACTGTGCAATTTTATGCTCTTGCTAAAGATCTTCCATTTTGGGCCAGAACAAAAACAGTCATAGTTTCGACGAATTGCGTTACTTGAATCATTTTATGATCTAATTGAAGTTGTAAAAAATTTATTCATAAAAAAGTTGTTAATGTTTTAGAGAGGATTTTTAAATTATAGATCAATTCCGCTGATTTTGATTTTGTTCGCATAGACAGTTTTTTTTTCTTTTGAGATGTAAAACATCGAATTAATGCCCATTGTTTTCAGAGTTAAACACATTTTTAGGCATTCAAATGACAATTTATTTCTATGTACCTTATTTGTAGACATTTATATTTTGCTTTTCAAATAATGATATTTGTTCCGTGACGTTGACGTCACGATAAACACTTAAATCAACCCCCCTTATCAAATGAATAAAGTGCAAATTATAGATGTAGCAAATTAGATATTGTTTTTTTTTTTCGTAGAAATTTCGAATTGAAGTATATATCTAATAATAAAAAAATGAATCACTTCCTGTTTTATAAACCGATGCCACAAATCTGTTTGAAAATAGTTTGAATAGTCTTGTGACTTCGTTCAAAAAAAAAAAATATTTCTTCTGCGGCAACGGCTGAGCCGTATTTTCGAAATGTCAAATGTGTCAACTGTCAAAGTCATGCTGGCTCAATATGTGTATGTGCGAAGCTCAAACAGCTGCACCAAAACTATATGTGAGATGAATGATGAACATATCAATGCCAATGTTTTTATCAGCACCGATTTATCAGTGAATGAATGAAATGTGTATTATAGTTTCCGAGGCGAGTGTGTTAATATTTGTTTGATTGTCTGCGTTGGATCGTCGGCATTTTTACGTGGAATAATTTAGCATTTATTCTCGAAACAATCTCGATACCAACTATTCAATGAGATTCTAATAAATGCAAATCGTGTTCATGGAAAATCGATTGTGTTCTTTAAATGAAGATGTGAAACAAAAATTCAAAAAGTGTTCTTACTGAGTGTGTCCGATGTTAGTCTATACAATAACAAATCGAGTTATTTCGATTTAATGAGATACTAGTTTTAAAAAAAACAACCACAAACTAGAATTAAGAGCAAAAAACAAACAAACACAAACTATAACACATTTTGCACCTGAGCAAAGAATGACGGAGGAAAATGATCATATCATTAAAAAACAAAAGATCGTATGTATTTCATTTTGATATTTTTTTCTTTAATAGAGTTAATTAATCTTAAATTAACATATGGAGGAAAAGTTTAGTGTTGAACAGTAAAACAAGAACAACTGTACGTGTACATATGCCCCAGATTCAACAGAGAGAAAAAAATAACATATGCTTGCAAGTTGATTATACATTGAAACAATATGTTTATGTGTGTGATGTGCTTATTGAACTGAAGTCACCGATAAACTGAAAGTTACCGATGATCAATGACAAAATTTATAAATTTATTGGCTTTTCCATTCGATAGGTCCGTTGCCAATTAGTGCCGTAATGGTCGTAGCTTTAGCTTTATCAAAACAGATACTGTTTCGCATTACAAAACTCAAAAACAAACAAATTTTCGCACCACATCAGTAAATCTCTTATCATTACAAACATACGCGAATATTTCATACTGGATTTGTATGTACACAAGAGACTAAAACTCACACTTGAAATGAATTTTTTTTTCGAAATGAAATTTATTATTTCGCTTTTGCATTATCAGTTTTGCATGAACAGTTGTTAGCTTAGTGAATGGTGAAATTCTAAAATTATTTAATAACATATGAAGTGAACAAATTTAATTACATCGTTTCATTGAACAACTAATAAATGTTATCAAAAGAAATTAGTTTTATCAACACAAAATCTAAGCTTCGCCTTGATTTCTTACACGTGGTCTTTATCGCTCCTGAAAACAGTGATTGCGTTTGCAAAAATGATTTATAAATTTGGTAAATGTTTTGACTGTATTGACTTTTTGGATAATTAATCAATTCTTAGTTTGAATTTGGACAGCTGAAATCTCTATTTGCATGACCGAAACCTGGTTACATAAATGTTATCCAAACATAAACAGTAATTGATAAACAAATTAGTTAATGAATCGAAACAATTGTATTACTATATTTTTTCAAGTGACGAAAAAAAATTTAAAATATATTTCTAAAATTAAATATTTTATCGTCGGTTTAAACCTGACAAAAATATGCAGTCACGATATTTCATGTTTGTTGCACACATATGCATTGTTGTACATTTTACTGCGATAGATACACCAAGAATTGACTACTCATCCGAATGTTTACTACATACACGGTGTCTCTGTGTGTAACATTTATGCATTCAACATTTGCTGTATTATGGCATATAAAATTTAAGTCAATCAATTTCTACATTTTAAAAGGTGTATTTACTTCGTCAAAGACAGTCTTGTTTCTTGAGATTTTCCACGATTTTTTCTGTTCGTATTTCAAACTTAAATTTTGCGTTTTGAGGTGTTAGTTATTTTCCTATATAATGGTTGGTGTAAATTTTATTTATCCACCAAACGGTAATTATACGAAAAGTAGATCTCTCTTCCCTCAGCAGGTATGAATTTAAGATTAAAATAAATATTTTTCAATTTTTCATTTGCTCCGGTTAAACATTTTTTTTGCACGAACAGTATGTTTATTCATTTGCTTTTCATTATACCGATTAATGTGCTTTAATTTATTGTCAATGCAAACTGAAATAATTACAGAACGACCACTTTTTATTCGTGTAAATAGTTAAGTCAAACGAAGCCATGAATTATTTAGAAGTGATTATTTCCGACTTTAAGCACTTTGCCAGCATTGGAAGGACTTTTCTAATACTTTTTATTTGTGGAGATGTCAGGTTCATAGCTAGAAAGTTCAAAAAAACAAGATTTCTTCCGAACAATTTCATTTTTGAAAATTTCCACTAAAAATTGATTTTTCGGAATTTTCATGAAAACTAAATCACCAAAGTGTTGTGTGACAGGAAAATGACAGGCAGAAAAATGTCGAATTGCACTCAAAACCGAAATTCAACTCAAAATAAAAAGCTGAATATCTCGTCATTAAATTCTAAAAATTCATGCACAAATTAGAATTCTTCAATAAGAAAGTCGAAAATGACTTGCTGGAGAGTATGGGGCTATTTTTTGTACATTTGAAAATCAGTCGGGAATGCGAATAAATATTAATTATGTCGAATCGAATAGAAAACAATTTGTGTGAAAAAATCTATTGGAAATTGTCAAGCAATTTGGACGTCATTCTTGAAAGAGCCGGTTTTGATATTGAATAATCACTTGCATCTCATAAGTAACAATTAAAAAAAGATTTAAAATCAAGCGACGCATTTCTTTTTCAACTAAAAAATTGATTAATACGATAAGCATTAAAAGACTAGTCGCGACCAATCAATTTCAAAAATATTCTGTATTCGTGGAATAAGAAGTCAACAGATTATTTCGAAGAAAATCAATTTTTTTATTGGCATTCCATTTTTTTGCAATTGATTGAATACCGCATGTAAGTTTTATAAAAGTTTCTGTAAGTTTTTTTGTAAGGACATTAATAACTGTGGAAGTTGTAAGTAGTCATTTGCCCTTAAGTCAGAGCTCACAGAGGGATGTAAATTTTAGTGAACAGGTCCAGATAATACCAGATTTGGTAATTTTCAGTAAAAATAGAATATTTGTCAGTGATTGGAAATGTTTCTGGTTTTTATAATTCCACGAGATAATGTGAGATGAAATCAAATGCGTCATTCTGAATAAACAAAAGAGTAAAACAAAGAAATGTTACGCAACATGCTAAAATCAATTTATGAAATGGTTTTATTTTGAGATAAAAAAGGACGTAAATTAAGATATATTATTAAAACGGATTGGCACATAACATCTTTTTACATCATGTCTTTGACGTAAATTACTTCTCTATATATAGATAAGTTTCATAATAATAATCAAAGAGTGCATAAAGTATTTTGACAGACTCTTGAGATAACTAATTTACTTGTATTCAATCCAAAGAAGATTTATGGCTTACAAAAAACATTTTTTTATCTGTTTACGATTTGGATAATTTAAAATGTGACGAAGTTGATAAACACATATTCATTCAGATTGCAGTCAATTCTAAACTACTTTCTTATCTCCTTCCTTCCCTTAGCGATTTCATTTACTCAGTTGTATTAGAAACATGTTTCGATAACAAATTTCAAGTAACAAATGTACTTTGACTCCTAATAATTTCAAAATACCAAGAACTCTACACTCTTGAAGATAATGTGTTGATGGAAAATGTATTTGTTAAAAACCGTAAACAAACAGCTTTTGTCTTTGGTCCGTCTGCGTTTAAGTTTAAAATGTAAAACCAAACAAATTACTTTACGGCAATCGTTTTAAATGCATACGTTGTGCGTACGGCTCATTCAAATCGTAGTCGGTGTAAGAGGTTAACATTGATTTGTCATATGCGTGCTGTTAGACAAACTGGGTAGTCGAAAATACGAATTGTTGTACGCCACTCGATTTTTCTTCTTTCTTTCTTTTCGGTCAAGCATCAAATGCTCTTTTCTTACATAGCTACGCCACCACATTCGCATACCTGAGTCCAGGTACAGTATTTACACACTTGAGAGAGACTCGTTTATCGGTTTCAGCTTACACACATATTCTCACATTTGTCTTATGGTCTGTAGTTTCTTTCTTTCTCTTTCTTTCTCTCTCTCTCTCTCATTTTGGTCCGTTATATTTGTTTAAAATCGACTGTGCCAATCGTTGTGACTCTCAGTATTGCTTAAGAGTTTGTTTACCGCACAACGTTTGCTGAATTGAATAGCACGCGCGATACACTAAAAAACCGCAGAGGCAAAGAAAAAAAGCCATTGCTGTGAAGTGAAAGACGAAGAGAAAGTCATTCAGTTCAAGCTTAAGTGTTAAACGGTGACAACGGTCATAAATTCAGTTGAGAAGATATCATTCAATTAATTTTCGATTTTATTTTGGAAAGCTAAAAACACATTTCAAGTGCAAACTACAAAAATGTTGAATATAAAACGACGTTGCAAATTTAACTTAAATTCACATGATGAATTGTATTTGAACAATAACAATAACATTAAAATCAAACAAGAAGTAAAAGATCCAGTGCAAACATTTTGTTTACAACACAACAATTGCAACTGTTCAACGCCAGAGGTTCGTAATGTAACATGTAAATTATTGAATTAAGAATCACAGTAAATCAGCATTACGGTTCAATTATCGGAAAATTTATGCATAAGCCATCAATTAAAATTGCAATAGGAAACAAAAGTAAACGCAATCAATTTTCGATGGAAGACAAGTGTTAGACATAGATCCGTTGTGTGCTGTGCGGCGAGCGCACGTCACGACGCAATCATCATTTTTACTTTCTTCGTTGAGAAAGTGTGTTCGATAACATTTGTCTAACATTTGAAGAAAAAAAAATCGCACTCCACGATGCTGCATCGTATACATTCACGTTGTATTTGTGTATTGTATAAAATGGCAAAAAACTTGTTTTTGTTCTGAAATCCAAAACACAGTCGCAGTCGGGCCATTGAATATTACGAAAGAAAAGTGCAATTGCGAAATCGGACCTTTTTTCCTCACATTTTTTTTCGGTCTCTGCTTTCCCGTCTCTTTTTTTTTGTTGCTGCTGCTGTTGTTGGTTTTGATGTTACTTTCAATAAATGGTTTGTAAACATCAGGTTTGAATACGTAGTCAAACATATTTTATGCCGTTTGGCCAATAAGGCTCATTGTGTTATTTGCTTGAAAGATAAATTTTTAATGCACAAAATAACATCGATGTGCACATAGTACGAATATAAATTGCAAGCGACGCTTTTAATCTGGCCGCATATTTATTTTGTTCAGTTACATGAACAAAAAAATATGAGCAAATTCAAATGCAAATGGATTTTTGTATATTTAACTAACCATGCTTGAGCTCTTTTTTTCCTTCGTCAGTCGAATTTCAAAGCAAACAACTTTTCTCTTTCGTGTGAACAGTAGTACAAAGCAAATAGAATTGAAATTGACACATATAACGATCACTTTGTTTTAATATGTACTGTTGTGTCTGCGGCATATGAACAAAACAGAAAAATACTCGTACATCACCTGATCCATGCACACAGCACATACACATCACATTTTGGCATGGTCAATTAAGTGTGTCATTCATCATCGCGCGCATCTACCATTTGATTCTTTCGAATAAAACTGTGTTAACACAGTTTGTTCAACTTAACGGGAATTCCTACATAATAATAATTTAAATAATAGATGATAAATGATTTGATGTTTTGTTTCGTTTTCACCAACATGTATCACCATTTTTCAAACTTGGTAACCAGTTTATTTACGTTTGATGTGCAATTTTATTTCTTCAATTTTTTTTCTCTCGTTAGTGCCTTAATATTGCAACGAACGTAACGGAGCAAAAGCATCATGTGACACGTGAGGTGAGAGGTCATTATCTTGGCCTATCGGGTACCTTTCGCGGATGTACTGTGTGGTTGACGGGATTGAGGTATAGATCATATTAAAGATAAAAAATTGAACAAAAAATTTTTTTAAAAAAAAGAAAAATTTATTAAAATAGTGGGGCAGGGAAAACTTCGATTGCATTTGAATGTGAAGCATTCCTTGTCTCTCGCGGTATTCCGGCTTACGGACTGGACGGCGACAACATTCGAACGGGATTGAATAAAAATCTTGGTTTTAGCCAAGCCGATCGTGAAGAGAATATAAGAAGAGTTGCCGAAGTTGCAAAACTGTTTGCCGATAGTGGACAAATTGCAATTTGCAGTTTCGTTTCACCGTTCAACAATGACAGAGAAGAGGCACGGAAAATTCACAAAGAGGCTGGCTTGGAGTATGTTCATTTTAATTCGCATCAATTATCAGTAATATTATAAGAGACAATAATTGTAATTTGATTTGCAGTTTCTATGAAATTTATGTGGATACACCATTGGAAGTGTGCGAAGCGCGCGACGTTAAAGGATTGTATAAACGGGCCAGATCTGGAGAAATATCTGGATTTACTGGGCTCACGCAAAAATATGAAGAACCGAAAAATCCCGATTTGATCATACAAACGGTTAATGAGTCAATTCAAGAATCAACATACCGTGTCATTGAATTTCTTGAAAAACAAAATATCATTCCAAAGACTTTACGCGACATTGAATTGGTGAGATTAAATTTATTTGTCGTTTTTGTGAGCGATTTTTCATTTACAATGAATTGACTTTGATTTTGCAGGAGCCGGAGTTGTTCGTGAAACCGCAACAAAAAGAGCAGGTCGAAATGGAGGCGGTGTCGCTGTTCAAATCATCATTATATTTGGAAATTTCAACGGTTGAATTGCAATGGTTGCAAGTATTATCAGAAGGTTGGGCATATCCATTGCGTGGTTTTATGCGCGAAGAAGAATATTTACAGGTGTTACATTTCAATTGTATACGCAATAAGGAAGAACCGTCCATACGTGAGAATCAATCGGTGCCAATTGTATTGTCATGCACCGAAGCGGATAAGAAACGTTTTGAAAATGCGAAATCAATTGCACTATTCTACGATCGTAAGCCAGTTGCAATATTACACAATCCAGAAATTTACTATCAACGAAAAGAGGAGCGTTGTTCACGTCAATTTGGCACAAATAATGGTGGCCATCCATACATTAAAATGATAAATGCATCGGGCCCGTACTTAATTGGTGGTGATTTAGAGGTGATCGAACGGATTCGATGGAACGATGGCCTAGACGAATATCGTCTAACACCAAATGAATTGAAATTGAAATTCAGGGAACTAAAAGCTGACGCTGTGTTTGCATTCCAATTGCGAAATCCAATACATAATGGACACGCTTTGTTGATGAAAGATTGTCGTCGCCAATTGCTGGAGCGAAACTTTAAAAATCCAATTTTACTATTGCATCCATTGGGCGGGTGGACAAAAGATGATGATGTTCCGTTAAATGTTCGAATTAAGCAACATCAAGCGCTATTGGATGCGGGCGTTTTGGATCGTGAGCATACAGTGCTTGCAATATTTCCATCGCCGATGATGTACGCCGGGCCAACTGAAGTGCAATGGCATGCAAAGGCACGCATGAATGCTGGTGCTAATTTTTATATTGTCGGCAGGGATCCAGCCGGTATGCCGCATCCAAGCAAAGAAACATATCCAGATGGTGACTTATTTGAAAGTTCACACGGTCAACGTGTTCTTCGAATGGCGCCCGGTCTAGACATGCTCGAAATTATACCGTTTCGTGTTGCTGCTTACGATAAAACTGTGTCGCAAATGGCATTTTTCGAACCTTCACGAAAGCAAGACTTTGAATTTATTTCCGGCACCAAAATGAGAAGTACGATCACAAACGTTTAATTTTTCTTCATTTGATCGACTGTTTAAATTTATATTCGTTTGATGTTGTTTTCTTCAATTCTCAATATAGATTTTGCACGAACTGGTGTATCACCACCACCTGGTTTCATGGAACCAAAAGCATGGAACATTCTAGCTGAATATTATCAAAATATTACAAACAATACGACGCAATCGTAGGCGCAGGCTTCCAAATGAGACGAAGACCACGATCGATGCACACATTTTATTTAATCGATAGGAAGACAAAAGATCAAAAGAGCATGTGTTTTAAGTTTAATGGAACATAATATTTGATGTTATTTATTTTATTCAGATCAGCGTTTTTTTTTTATTGAATATTCTTAGGCAATCTATTTTTGATTCGACTATTTTTTAAATATTCGTCTTGTGTTGAATTCGTTTTTTTTATTTACTTCTTCAAATATATAAATGTTTAAAATGAGAAATGTTGTATTTAACAAAAACTTGTGAAAAAATTCATGCTTAATTCAAAACAAATTTATAAAAAGAAAACAAAAACGTGTAAACAAAATATCTTCATTTGGCCTTCCGCATACTTTCTCTGTTTTTAATCCAGTCTGTAACAACTCTCAGCACTTGATCTCTAATGGCTGCAGAACCTGTAATAGAAAAATTAAAATTCGCTTTTATCGCCATACAATTCATCTTCACCTTTTGAATGTCGGTGGACCAATACTTACTGTATTCGTTGCTTTCGTATTGGTAATGAGTAATTGTTTGGCAAATATTTTCATATTCCTTTTTGTTGATGCGTCTATCGTTGTAGAATGGCATTAAATATCGTTCGACTTTGTTTTTGATTGTCATCTTATCGTTGCGAACCTTGTCGATCACTTTTTGTGGCACCAAATCAAGCATATTTGCCTCATTCATTTTGTGAATGTGCTCGTTCAAGGCCATGCTAACGTGATATTCTTTCTTGGTTTTTTCATCTTCGCACTTGATTGGCTTCATCATGAAATCACTGTACGAAATGACTTTTTGTTCACGTGCACCACGATCCGTGACGAACGTTTTATGCAGCATTCGCTTTTCCAAAATATCAAGTTTGAAATTCGATCCGAAGAGATCGCTCATGAAGTTGCTACGAATTTTTTCTTGTTCTTTTTCGGTTTTTTTAGCCTCTTCTTTAACCTTTTCTTTATAGATGAGCTCTTTCTTCCTTAGTAGTTTTTTTAAGCGTTCGGCCAATGCTGCTCGTTCCTTTATATCTAAATTGGAATATCAAAACAAATGAAAATGAATGAACGTACAATGAAAATAAATTTAAAGTCCATCATACTTAGCTGTGCCATATTGATTTTCTTCAATTGTTCCAGCTCTTCATTGTGCGCCTGTTCCATATCTTCTACATACTTTTCAATTTCATCGCCCAATTCATCGTAGTTGATATCGTCGTCGTCGACGATTTCCACATAATTTTTCATTGGTTTTTCTCTTTCCGCTGGCCGTTCGAATTGATTGAATCGCAATAATGGGTTACCATCAACGGCATTCACAACTGATTTGGTTGACTTTAGTCCAACATTGTACAGTGGTTGATCGTAAATTGGCTCTTGATGAATTGGCGGCGGCGGTAGAGCTGTGAAATGTTGAGGATACGCTGTTGATGTTGATGGTTGTTGATATCGATCATCATCGTGGAAATTGGCACTAACGCTTTGAGGCTCGACATTTTGATTGTTAACATTACTTTCATCGTCTGTTTCTTCATCGGATTCAACCGGTTCATCTTTAATGTCATCGTTAACTCTCACTGGCTCAGCAACAACCATTGCCATTGATTCCTCTTCGCAATTTAATCCGATTTCCGAAATGATTTCATTTTGTACAAGTTGTCTCGGTTGACTGGTAATCGTTTCACATTGATTTGATCTATGTGTTCCAATTCGCTGGTCTCTTGCCTGCTGTTCATTGTCGCGCTGTGATTTGGTTTTTTTTCGTTGAACCTGGTTCACACCGGTCACTGTTTCACCGTCATTATCACTGGCTTCGTCTGTGTCGGCACCATCATAATTTCGTTCCGTTTTGACATTTTGTGGATTGAATTCTATGTTTTTTGCATTTGTTGTTATTCTGTTTGGTGGCGGTGCTGCTGGCTGTTGTTGTTGTTGTTTTGATGTATGTGTCATGGTATCCATTTCATCATCGCTGCCCTTTTCTGTGCCACAATCACTGTCATAATTAATCGGTTCGTTTTTTATTGGTACGGATGTCATATTTTCGGTGCTTTCATTCGTATCCATCGGTTCAGTTTTAATTCGAGGTGCTTCGATGTCCACTTTGCGTCGCTTTGCTGGTTGACTATTTTCCAATCCATTTTGATTGTCGTCAACATTGTCTTCTTCAGGTTCGCGTTTTATCGACGCCGTTGAAAAAAATGAATTGATCGACATTTGTGTCAATGGATCCTTCTTCATGCGATTTGTCTCTCTCAATTTATTGTTAATTTGACGCGCAGTCTGAAATCCCACTGAAATGTCAAATCATCATAAAATAAACGTCAAATTAAATACGTCAACTGACATAATGTCATGCAATTACATGCAATACACACACATACAAATATTTCATAGAACAATGACTTTTGACATACCGTTTGCGTGATTCGCTGTGTTATTTGTTTCGTCCACAATTTTATTCTTTTCCATAAAATCGTCCAAATCCCGTTGCATAGCTTCAGATGATCCGCCATATGCTGTTCGCTTTTTCGGTGTGTGATTCTTAATTTCGGTCAATAATTCATTATTTTTGGTGCTTCGATCGATTCGTAGACGCTCCACTGTGATTGATTTTTGGTACATTGCAAACACACGATTTTTTGTGAAACAGTTGTACTCCAATTCAGCAGCAATATCTTCAAAATCACAACCTTTCAATGGATGTGGTGGTTTCTCGCTCGCCTTTTCTGCATTTTCTTTCAACACTTTCAGCAAGAAGTCCAAGTAAATTTCGCGTTTCTTTACATCCAACCCAGCTATCTTACTGGTGTGAATACTGCTTCTAATTCGAATGCCAAACGATCGTGTTTGTGTTTGTTCCAATTTTTTGGCTGCCTCAATTTTCTGCTTGCGTCGTTCGAATTCTTTTTGTATCAAATTGGTTGTTTCTCGTTTGGCTTTTGCATCACGTTTCGTTGCACCGTATTCCTCGTGATCATCGTCATTGACTTGGGTATAGGCAGTTTCTGATTCCTGTACCGCATTTCGGCCACCTTCATACAAATCGGAACTATCGAAATCCACATCCATTTTACTGGTGAACCCATTCAGAGCAAGTCGATGAAAATTTTCCAACTTTTTTTCGCTACCTTTGTAATCTTTACACACATCACACAATTGCTTCTGTTTGCAATCGGGCGGATGATCACCGAAATAATGGGAAAAGAGCAAATGACGGCAACGCAAAGATTCACAATTATCGACCAATCTTTCAAACTCTTTCACGCTTCGCTTGGACTTGACGTTGTCGGGATCTTTTTGAAGTTGTTGTTGCAAAAGAAAATTGATTGTTTTCACCTCTTGACGACAATAGTAAAGACGACCTAGATAAATGGTTATAATGAAATGTAATAAATGGTTTTCAATAAGACTCATTTTATAATTTACAAAATGATGGAAGGCCATCCCTTCCAGCGCGGCCCGATTCTTGATAATATGCGGCTATGTTCTGTGGCACATCCCAATGCACAACAAATCGAACAGTCGCCTTGTCTACGCCCATGCCAAAAGAGTTGGTAGCCTAAAAAAAGTGTGTCGTTGCTCAAAACTCGTTCGCATATGACATTCTTTTAGATAAATACTTACACAAATTACTGGAAATTTACCATCGGTCCAATCTTCTTGGTATTGTTTTCGATCTTTGTCATTAATTCCAGCATGATAGGGTTTGGAGACGATATTTTGCTTTGTCAAACCATTAGCAACACGCTCCACCGACTCTCTCGTTCTATATTCAATAGAAATAATGTATTTGATAACAGTCTCTAATATAATTTTTTCAACTAAAATTTGTTGACGACTCTCTCACCGACAATAAATTATACCGCACGGTGCTTTGTTCGGTTTATCATCGGGATTTTTAGTCTTCAAACATTTCGTTACAAATTCTTTCAAGTGGATGTAATCATCTTGAATGGAATTTTTATAAATAATGTCGTAGAATAAATTTTTACGAAAACATGGTGTTTTGAATGATTTTGTATCTTTTAGTGCAAGTTGTTTGAATATATCCGATGTAACTTCCTGTAGAACGGATCAAAAGAAGAGAAAAGTGAATAGGTGAGCCCAAGAAATAAAATGGGACTGAACAATTCGGAGAGAAATGATACTCACCTTCGATGCTGTTGCTGTAAGTGCTATCCATTTTATAGTTGGATATCGTTTACGTAGCTCTCCCAATTTCAAGTAATCCCGTCGAAATTGATGACCCATTTCCGACACGCAATGGCACTGGAAAAAATGATTGGGAAATTAGTCGCATCGAATGGAAAAGATGCAATCGATTGTAATTTGTATTACTAACTTCATCGACGGCTACTAACGCCAATTTATTGTATTTCACAATAGAATCGAGTAGCGAGCGAAAGAAATCGGTGGCTGCTTGTTCTGGTGTAATGTATAGGAATTTTGTGCTCGGGCGTATACTTTTCAGGTCATTTATTACCCGATCGCGTTCTCTTGTAGTCATTTTCGAGTTCAAAGATTCCGCAGATATTTTTATCTTTGTCAAGTGATCCATTTGATCTTTTATCAATGCAATTAACGGCGAAAAGACAATTGTGATTTTGTTCTCGTGCAGCATACCAGGTAGCTGTAATTATAACCGTTCAATACAAATTATTGTTGGAAACAGTGAAAAGTACTTGTCATCAGAGATTGAGAATCATCTCATATTATAAATCAGCACCTGATAGCATAAACTTTTGCCACTTCCAGTGGGCATCGAAATATAAACGTCACGTTTTCCTACATAATTGAATTTAATTGAAAATAAATCGCATAGTATAAAATTCGACAAAAAAGCATTTTTGATTTGAATTACTTGCCTCTCATAATCTCTCTGATGGCATCTTTTTGTAGACTACTTTTGAAGTCCGAATGATTAAAGTAAACTTTCAATTTTTTACGCAGAAAATCTGACGTGTATATATCTTCTTTTGATGTTTTTTCATCCTTTTTTTGTTTCGAAGAACTCGATGAAGATGATTTTGATTTGGCGCTAGATTTTAATGGCTCGTCCATAATATTACGTTTTTTGAATAACAAATAAACAACAAAACAAGAGAAATCACTTTTATGTCTGGTTAGAGAATGACACTTGTATGTATTGGCGCGTTATGCGTGAATTTGAAACACGATTTGACATTTGACAATTTCCGTCATCATTTGTCTAAGCAAGAATAAAAACGGTTAATTCGGTTTTATTTTACTTTTAATTTTATTTTTTCTGTATTTATAAGTCTTTATTCTTTATTCATGATAATTCTACATTTTAATTTATTATAATGTATATATATATTTAGATTTTGTTTTCTTTTTTGAAGTCTATCATTTCAGTACAACGGGTTGTCGACAATTGAGTTGTGTTCAGTTTTTTTCTTTGGAGTCAGTGCATGATGTTTGAATAGTCATCAAAATGTCTTTTTTCATGTTGTTATTGATGTTGATGATGAGTTGATCGTCATCGGAATGTTCTATGTCGTTGTTTTGTTCGTCGGATGGGACGCATTCAGCGTCAGAATCGTCAGAATCTATAACAACAACATCACAGTCTACTTCGTATTTTGGTCGTTTTACCGGTTCGTCGGCAGCATCAGTCACACCAGAGTTAATAGAACGTTTTTGCACTGTCGAAAAAAAAAAACAATTGGTTACTCTGTGAACACATAAATGACTAGTTAGTAAAAGAATTTACCGTTAATTTGGTCCGATGTGTATGTGCATTGAACTTGATTTGAATCATTGCGTTTGTCCGTCAAAGTAGCCCTTTCTACCTTCATTGCATTATCGATCATCGGAAAGAGTATATTTCTTGATGTATATCGTTCGATTTCCAAACGGGATGCTGTTATTGCCCTTGAATACGAAGCCACATTACGATTTTTGTTAAAGCAACGTTCTTCAACATTCATTCCAAAATGTGTTAAAGCCATATCGTTCAAATCCAATTCGGAAGTCTTTTTCACATTTTCTTTCAGCGTTTGTGTCAATAATTTCAAATAGCTTGGCCGAAGTTGTTCCATTTTTTTGGATGATGTTGATTGTGGTCGATTTTTTCTTGCTATTAATGGATACTACCTCAAAATATATGCTTGTCTTTACCAAACGCGTACTTATGCAAACAACATAAATCCTTTTGACATCAACAATTTTCGCAGTGTGTAATTGCGTCTTTCAGATTCTGTAATGCAAACATGTGTGCGTCAAGAGATACAACAAAACTATGACATCATGCAGCCAAATACTATTACAACAGATGTAGATATGTACTCTATTGCCAGAGTGTAGATAACCAATACAATCAAAGGACCAATGTTTATGTAAAAGAGTGATTTATTGAAAACAAACCTATACATTTGAATATTTGTTGATTCTATTTTATTTGCTTCGAATAGGAAGTCATAATGCATTTTGGCATGCTGATTTATATACTAAAAAAGATGAAGTTTTTCTTAATTTGGTGTAATTTTACGTATTCGTGAAACCAAACATACGTCGTTTATGCTAAATCTTAAGAAACTTTCCGTTATAAAAATGGTGGTTTTACTAGCGATTATGTGTAAAGTATTGATGGTTCGGTGGTTGGTACAACTGAACGTAGTAGACTGGTTGATGAATGACTGATCCTTGCAAGACGTGCACTGGAGCACTGAAATTGATTGGCGTATAAAATAGACGTGGATTCGGTCGTGTCATCAGTGGCGGAATGTGTCTTGGAGCAAGGCGAGGAATCGGCCGAATAATTGTTGGAGCTTGATGAACAGTTGTGGCACTTGAAGTGGCACTTGAAACAACGGTTTTGAAACATTGTGTGAACTGCGTTGGTGCTATTTGTCGCAATCCATTATTCTGTTTGAATCGATACGCGATATTTGTTGGCAACAAATTTGGTACCTGATTTCTATTTGGCTGCTTCAACTCTTCGTCATCATTTGGTTTGGAAATCGTTCCAATGACCTCATCTACCGTATTTACGATTTCGATAGCCTTCTTCTCTTCAACTTTTGACGCGTCTTCATTTATGCTCGATCCATAGAAGCAAATACGCGTGTATTGATGGTCATCATATGGCAACTGATGGTATATGGTCTCATCATTTTTATCGTTGGACTCTGTGCTGTGTGATGATGTAGTGATCGTTGTCTCCGAATCAGAAATGTCAGAATATTGTGGCTTGCACGGCTCTGTATTGTTTTCATCCGGTGAAACAATATTTTTGCTATTCTTTCGCTTCCTTTTTTGTTGTTTCTTTACAACAGCACTTCCATCTGAAAGATCAACGATTATCATTTTATGAATGAAAAATAAAAAATAAAAACGATTTTTGTCGAAGCAATTTAGAACAGAGAGAGAGAGAGAAAGGTGTTTTACCCAAGCGACATTTTTTCATGATGCGACATTTTTTGCAAGAATGAGGTGACTTGCATTCGGCGTGTACTATGGGTGCTTCACTTTGTGCATCCTTCGATTGTTGTTTCTTTCGCTTCGTTATACTCACTCTTTCCGCCTGAGTTTCGGAAGCTATCAAACAATACAATACCATCACGTAAATTTCATTCAATCGCATATAATTTTAATTAAAAAATAATTCTATTTTCTGTTTACCTTTTGTAATTTTCGTAATCACAATGTTTTCTTTGCCGCATATGTAATCTTCAATGTCTGAAAATAGTGTGGCGGCCGCTGTGCACGCTTCAATTTTTGCCCGCAAATATTTGATTGCTTTGATGTACGGAGTGATTCCTCTGTTTTTCACAAAATATTCTCCTTCCACCTCATCACGAATGGTTTCAAAATCACTTTCTTTCATCAGCACATCACATTTTTCAACGAATTGCGATGATTCAAAGTTGTCTTTGAATAAATCAACAATCAGTTTTCGATAGATATCACGCTGTTTGTCCATTTTAACGATGTAATTCAAATGGTTTTGTCAGCGGTTAGTTATAGGTTATGCAAATAATCAATGCTTTGTTGGTCTTGTTGTACGATGTATTCGATGCAAATCAAGTTGACGAACTAAATTCATACACACACAATAATTCGGTTGAAGTGGTATGATGATATTTGTTTATAACCGTTAGCCGGTGCAGTGTTTTGTCAAAGTAGTCAACATTATTTCGACGATGTTGCTGATCATCATACGAGCTGTATATAATTGAATGCCTTTTCAAGTTTCGACATGTTATTTTCAATTTTGAATACTTCTTTGTCATCTTGTTTATGTAAGCATTTCAAAAAAGCATCGATATTGACTGTTTTGTTTATATGAAGATTTTTGCTGATATCTAAAACAAAATTGAAAACACACACACACACACAAAAGATCTTCTTACCGTACGAGAACGCATGTCGTATCGACAATAACTATAATCTGTGTATTGGTTGGTGGTCATTTTACATATTCATTTTTTTTGTAAATATGACAGTGTGCTCAGCGCAATTGTGCTAGCGCGTTGTTTATATAAATACATAAAAGATACAAGTTTCAATTCGTCGAAATTGACTTTTAAGAATTGATAGCATGATTCATTTTCGACTAACCAGAAAACTCGTTTATACAAGACCAATTTCCATATTCGTTTGTTTAATGTTACGTTGACAAGAGAAAATGAAAAGATCACATTCATTGTACAGAACCATTTATTATATAGACGTTTTCTAATTCTCCGATTTTTTTTTGTGAAATTTAATAAATGACAAAGTAAATATACTTTCGTTAAAAACAACACTAAACCTATTGCTATACAATGTTTCGATTTAAAAAAAAATGAAAATTTTAATCGATTCTTAAATGTAATTTGATATTTTAAGCACTTTGTGGTTAGTTAAGTATTGCGACGCTGTTGTCTGAAGCTGCTGATGAAATACTTATTATAGACTCCGTATCGTCCACTGCCGTAAATTCATCGGGAAATTTGTTTGAATCCATTTCGATTTTCGATATTCCTTGTTCACTCCCTTGTTCACTCCCATCGTCGTCCCAATCTTTCAAAATATTTTTCAAATTATATGTTTCATTTTTCTCTCGCTTCTTTCGTCGATTTTCCTTGAGATACTTGGCGAGGAAATTCGATTTGATCGAAGTTAAATCAATGGAATTCAAGTTTTGTAACTTTTTTACCAGTTCCGTTGGGCGCATTGTATTGGTATTATCCAAAGCTGAAACAAGTAAATCAGTCGAACATGTCGACTTTGAACGTTTCGATGTTTTCGTTTTTGATATTTCGTGCTTCAATGGCTCTTGCTTTGAGGTCTTTCTCGTCGGTTCTTTTGCGGTTTTCTTCAATGGCTCTTGCATTGGGATCTTTTTCACCCATTCTATTTCGGTTTTCTTGAAAGGCTCTTTCTTCGGTGCCTTTTTTGCCGGTTCCATAGTGGTTTGCTTCAATGCCTCTCGCTTTAGTGTTTTTTTCGCCGGTCCTGTTACGGGTTTCTTCAATGGCTCTTGCTTTGGTGTCTTTTTCAGCGGTTCTATTGCGGTTTGCTTTAATGGCTCTTGCTTTACTGTCTCTTTCACCGGTTCAGTTTTTACAGGCGATGCAGAAACCTTCCCATTTGATTGATTTTTACGCGCCTTTCTTATTGCCACCGTAAATTTGTTTGGTGGTTTTTCGTTGGCTTTCTTACTCTTTGAACGTTTTGTCTTTTCAATATGTTGAATGCATTTTGTTAGTTTGGCTTCGGTTTTGATTTTACCCTTTCCACTGGAACTGGCATCTTTGACACTCTTAAGCTTTGTCTCATTTTTGATGGGCGATAGATTGGCGATCATCTTATCAATTCCATTTTTGTCGAGTACTTTATCGGTATCAATTTTGCTGGGTATGACCGTTTCATCGAGAAAATCCAAAAAGTCTGGATTTTCAACGTTTGATTTCGGATCAATTTCAAATTTGGGTTCGGCTTCAAAATCGTTAAAAAGATCCGAAAAATCCAAATCATAAGATTCAATATTAGGATTTCGTTGACTATCACAAAATAGTTCAGTCGACAGTGGATTCGTTGATTGATAATTGTCTGTGCCATCAAGAGGCACACGGAATACAGCCTCTCGTCCACCCTCCAATACCTCTTCATAATAATATACTGAATTGTCTTTCACATTTTTAAAAATGAATTTTTCGTAGGGGTAGAGACATTGCGCGCCGTTACATTTATAAATTGCTTCGTCCAAACTGATGTAATAATACCGTAATTTATTGTCGATGCCTTTCGACGCACAATGTGGACACGTTTCAGTGTACTGAAATGGAGAATGAAACAGATATTGAGAGTTCTTGTGTAATAAGTAAGTCATAGTTACCTCAACAATTGTGTCTTCTACAAACACTTTACGTGCTTTTATCAGCATTTCGGCGTTCATTTTGATGTTTTCATTGATTTTTCATCGAATTTAACCACATACCATGAATATTGACGAAGAAAACATAACGAAGAAAAATGGTGTGTATTTTTATTTTCACTTGTTGGCGGCGACGTTTGATGTGTTTATCTGTGTATAAACAAACTTCATAAACGATTGAAGCACGTTTTTGTTCGAAACGTCAATGTCAATTGTATTGTGTAAGACTTTGTACGTGAAACAGTATGCATGTGTCGACCTGTGTTTACATTGGACATTATGCACGGTTCACACGCGTTATGAACATTTCTGCTCACGCATTGTTTATATATGGACAGTATATATATGTGGAAACAAAGAAATTTCAGTGAAGATAGAATAAAATATGACTCAATGTGAAATGTGTTTGTTCAGATGTGTATCGAATTTCATGGAATTATCGCCTGCGTTAAAAATTAAAAAATTAAAAAATATATGATTGAATTGTTATTTTGGCACTGTGTTCATGTTAACATACCTTAATTTTCTTTCACTTCGAATTCGACATACCGAGTCTGAAGCAGCTGATTGTAAAATGTTGAAAAACTGACATACAGACCGATTGATTGAACTGATATTACGTCGTTCGTGTTCATATCTTTTGCCTGCTCGCTCTCTCATACATCTTTTATTGACAGTCTGACTAAATGTGTTTGTGAATATTAGTGACCTTTGAATTGTGCTGAAAATGTCAAATATTCGCACTAATTCGCCGACCATATTTGCTCATTGTGCTCACTGCATACACATCGTGAGACTAATTTTAATAAACACACATACATATTTTTCTCCGTTTCGTTTTTTTTTTGTCGTATACGCTGAACTATCATCTATCGTTGAACCATTTTTTTTTTCGTTAGTTCGATCAATCTTCATTTCTTTATCGATGACATCTTGAAATATCCAGGTATTTTATATAGTCGAATCCATCCGAAAGCTTTTAAAGAAAAAAAAGTTATAAGCGAAAATAATGTGGTGGCAGTGCAAAATTGAACGCCCAACAACGACAGCAAAACAGAATCAAATAAGTGTGTAAATATTTTTTTTGTCGATCAAATTTCGGGAGTAGAGTGCGAGTTTGTCAGCTAATATCAAAGGCCTCAAAATATATATATATATATATCTAGTTTAGTTTACGGTGTGTTCCGTTTTTGTGTGGAGACATTGTGCAACATTTGTTGTTGTTTTTCTTTTTCGTTTTGCTCTCGATATTTTTGTTTCTCTTCAAAACAAGTGGATAAGATTATCATCAAAAAAATAAATGTGTGCGTGAGTGTGAAATAATGGCATTTTGTACACATCAATGTGGAAAAGCTCATAATCCACAGATAGAGAGACATTAAAGAGAAAAAGAGAGAATACGATTGAATTGAGCCAACAGTGAACGGATAAATTTGCAATAATTTAAGCAGCTGCCGATGGAAATCAGCCGAAACGGTTAAGGATAATAATCAAAGCAACAAAAATATAAATATTTTCGACGGCTAACCCAACACGTACATAGCGAGCCGTAGAAAGACACGCATGGAGCAATGTGTTTAGTTATCTGAAGCAAAGAAAGCGCACACATCGAACCAAAATTCAAGTGATAGATAGAAAGAGAGTGAGTGAGAGAGAGAGAGGAGACAAAAAGAACGAAAACAACCACCAGTGACAATTCAGAGCTCACACAGCGTATAACTGTGTATGATGGTACTTTGCGCGTTGTGACAAAAGCAAAGGAGGCAAAAAAATAAATAAATAAAATAAAACACAAAGCAAAAGAGAGAGACACACAGTATTTTCAACGACAACAAGATAAGAGCAAATAAAAATTTATTACGACAATTAGTCGACATCGAACAAAATTCGGCTGCAGCAGATTGTCTACGTTCATACGGAATTCAAGCATCGAATGTAACGCTTGATTGAGTTTCACATCGTCAATACAATATTCGCCCGAAACACATTATACTAATTTTTCTCATCGTGCATCTAATAAAAAGTAACAGTTGCGACCCATTTCCAATAAGAAATTCTTGAATACCGTGCGTGTTTGCGTCCGTGCATTTGCCTTTGTGTACACAAACGATATATACAATATATATACTACTAGTACTTTACAAAATTTGAAGAGGGAAAAAAGAAAACAATTTTGTCGCATATGGAGTCTTGTACAATCAATCAAATTGTCGTCGCATTAGCAACCAACACTCTCCGGCTATCGAAATTAAAAAACACACATATTTGCTTCGTCTCAACATTTATTTAACAATAACCGCTTTTATTTTCTTCGGTTCAGTTTTTTTTTTAATTTTCGTTCGTTCGCATTTTTTTTTTTGTTTATCAATCAAATTTATTTTCAAAAAATATTACAATATCGGATTTAGATCGGTTTTATTTCGAATGTGTGAATGAGATTCGGGTGCCAAATTCACACTCTGCTTAGCTGCTTTTCTGTTGTTATTGTACGATTTTGTTTTGTATTTCTATTTCTTTTGTTCATTGAATCCATCAAAACATATAAATAATAATAACAACAACAAACACCAAACACTGTGTGTATTGTAATTAAACAGAAAACGACTAGATAAATAATTTTGTTCATACATACGGTGTACTACAATCGATAAAATAGCCGACACAATGAGAGTGGTTGCAATGGTGAGTGGGGGCAAAGACAGCTCCTACAACATGATGAAATGTGTTGCCGAGGGTCATGAGATCGTCGCTCTGGCAAATCTACATCCCAAAGACAAAGGTAAAGGTTTGTTTGTGTCGTTTTTATCGTTTTTTTTCTGGCTTATTGCATCTAGGCATGGCGTTATAAATATCGATTTTTGATTATTACTATTCATTGCTTTCATGCACACACACACACAGATGAACTAGACAGCTATATGTATCAAACAGTTGGACACATGGGCATTACAAAGCTTGCCGAAGCGATGGAATTGCCATTGTATCGCATGGAAACAAAGGGACAATCGACTCAAACGGGAAAATACTATGTGCCAACTGATGACGATGAAGTCGAAGACCTTTACAACCTATTGAAAATGACCAAAGATGAAGTGAATGTTGAGGCCGTTGCAGTTGGTGCTATATTTTCTGATTACCAGAGAATTCGCGTGGAAAATGTGTACGTTACATTTACATATTTTATGGTTGAATGCGAACATTTTTGATGTTTGTTTTTTATTCATTTTTTTCGTCATGTATTGCAGTTGTATGCGCTTGAATTTGGTGCCGCTCGCATATTTATGGAGGAGAGATCAGACTGAACTGCTGCAAGAGATGATAGATTGTCAAGTTCATTCAATAATAATTAAGGTTGCATCGTTAGGTTTAGTGCCAGATCGTCATTTAGGCAAATCTTTGCGTGAACTTCAACCACATCTCGAAAAGATGAGAGAAAAATACGGGTTGAATGTATGCGGTGAGGGAGGCGAATATGAATCGTTTACCTTAAATTGTCCACTATTCAAGCAACAAATTTGCATGTAAGCCAATTTTCACATCTATTTTTTTTACATTCAATTCGTTCGATTTGTTTATTCCGCTCAAATGGCATCGACATTTATTTTGAAAAAGTAAAAAGTTCTTGGAAAATCCAAATGACAAAGTAAACAGTTATTTGTTTTAAATATTCAATACAAATTTCATAGAATCATGTGATTTAACCCCCATTTGTAAAATTAATTCAGTGAAAAACATGCACGTGAATTTGACGTATTCAAATAATGCCCTTAATTTGTTTCGTAAAGTGATAATAACATATGTTTTGCCCACACTTAAATCAAATCTAAAAATTCTTCATAGTCAACAATAAAAATCGCAGAACGCTATTTTTATTCATATTGATTAAAAATTCTGTTTGTACACCCCACAGTTCTGGCGAAGAAGATTTAAAAATTAAAAAGAAATTATACATGTTCAGTGATTTGCATAATATGTGTGAATATTGTGCTGTAGTAATCACGATTTTCGATGATGTCATTGCCTTTTGAACCTTATTTGCACGAATGCTCCGTGTGGCAAATGAAAACTATAGTCGCCATTATAGTTATCGATATAGTTGCCGGGGCTTGTAAAGTGTTTTTGTTGCTCGCGCGCTTTTCTTTCTTCTTTCCCCTATTCGCGTCAGCTGAAATATTTTAAAATTAGATTTAGCACGTGATTTGGTTTCTAATCTCATTTGGCACTAAAATAAAGCTACAAGTATGACGGTGACCGCAATAATAAAAAAAAGGAAAATGAATGAATGCGATAACGAATTATAAACGCATGTAAACTGTTGAAACTGACCGATATGGAGAAAAAAAGTGAGCGTTCTTAATTTTTTTAGCCAATTGCAGCCGTGGCTAGATGTTCATTGGAAAAAAGCGCAATGACATTAACGCTCGATGTCAAAACACTAGACAAAATAAATGCGTATTTGATTTGCTTGGAAATTGTTTGTTCGTTTAATTATCGTTTGTTGAGTGTGATTATAATCATAATTTTATCTTTGCCATGGCTTGCAAGCCACTAGAATGTCAACAATCATTTTTCACGTAAATAAATTCTCAGATCCCTGGTTGTTACATTTAATTCTGATATAGAAAACAAAATTCAATCAAAATAGATTTCAGATATTGATAAATCCATTTCAAAAGTCACTTTTGGAAAGTTGTTTATTTGAATGAAGTGTTTTGGCGGACGAATAACCTCACTTGCATGCTATATTCCATTTCAAGATTGCAATGATTGTCTCACACATTGTATTTTTCCTAGATGTTAAAGTCAATCAATCAATGCTGTACAGTGTACATGTACATACTTCACTGCATTTCACCGTTATCAATGTGTGTCTTCTATTATTTCTGATTGTTCTATGATTAAAATGATTTCCACTCTGACAACCGTTTCTCTATACTGAGTGCCGTACATGAGATAAACAATGTACAATAATACCTTTTTTGTGTGAAAAAAATCCTACTTATTCTCATAGGCATTCATGTATACAAATCGATTACACTGAGTCAACATTATCTTAATCTCTGTGCCTCATTCGCGCTTTTGTGATACATTTTCGTATTTGTTCTTTTATTGATAAATATTTTCATGAACAAAAACAATGTTTTGCTTGGCTGCAGCCATGTGACTATGAATTTGTAATTATTTTGCAAATGTGGCCCCATCAACTGATAATGAAAATCACGATCATCGGCCGAAAAAATCCTAAACCATGCATTGCTGTAAATAAGATAACTTTGCATACTTTGTGATTCAATGTCAGCTCAATATATTTTATTCGATTTCAGCGTGAAAAATAGCAATGAACACATGTCGTCTTGTATATTTTGGAATTTATATGAACTTTGCTACCTCTTCGTTTTTTTTATTTATTTATTTGTTGTTTTATTTCATTTGCAGCGAGGATTTTCAGACGATAATCAGTTCATCGGATCCGGTGTGTCCGGTGGGATATATAAATTTCACGAAATTGCGTTTAATGGCAAAATCTCGAGAAAATGAAGCAGAAGTTGTGGTCAAAAAGTCAATTGACTACATAAGCGATTTGAATGAATCGAGCTACAGTGAGTTCCATTTATGGATTTCCAATTGATGAAACAAACACAGAGTTTACGTTTAAATTCCATTTTTAGGTGACCTAAGCGATCCGGATTTGAGTGAAACCGAATTGGAACACATCGAAATGGAAAATCGAATGAAAGAATCGATGAGCAAAGAAGAAATTGCAATTCTGTCACGAAGCAATAGTTTGAGCCAAAGTGGTTCATTATTATCGTCTCCAGTTCGAATAATTACGAAAAAACTGGTTGGTTCGGACGAAGAATCTTCGGTGAATGGTGGTGCCAGTGGTAGTTATGCCACAAGAAATGGTTTGCTTGATGTAAACACAAACGATGTGACCGACGGTTTGGCATCAAAAAATTTAACATTAAATTACGATATTGAACAACGACCGATTGAAAATAAGCCAAATATTGGTATTAATCCACGTGGTTGGATGTGGATTGCTGGAATTCAAGGTGTTGGTGCCACATCAGCGGAGGGAATGCAAAATGCTATCGATGCTCTTGTGAAAATAGTTACTGAAAATGGCTATGAACTCAACAATCTGTGTTATATTTCGTTGTACGTGCGCAGCATGAATGATTATGCTGAACTCAATGACGTGTATGTGAAGGCTTTCAATTTTCAAAATCCACCATCACGCGTGTGCATTGAGAGTCCACTTCCCGATGGTTTGCAGGTGATAATGGAAGGCGTTGCATTCAAACCACGAAACAGTGACATCAACAATCAACGCCATACGATGCATGTACAAAGTATTTCACATTGGGCACCAGCCAATATTGGTCCATACAGTCAATCGACACGAGTCGGTGAAATTACATACATTGCAGGTTTGTTAACAGTAAATTAGTTTAGATGCTTTTTTTTGGACTCAACTTTTTTCGACTAAATTATTTTCAGGTCAAATTGCGCTTGTACCAGGTATCTAACACATAATTCAAGTTAATTCAAATGTATTTTATTATTAATATCAATTTATTGGAAATTGACTACTACACCGGGAAAAGTACTACTACGTGTCATGTGATCCTCATTCGCCGCAATGGAATTCAAGATGGATTCAAGCCCCACTACATCCACGTTGTCAACGATCAGAATACGATGTTCGAGTCCAGAACTCCATTTCTTAATTTTTTCCATCTTGAATTTTATTGTAGCGAATAAGGATCAGGTGACACGAAGTAGTACATTTTCCTTTAACGTTGTTTCATTCAATTTCCAATAAATCGATATTAATAATAAAATGCATTAACTAACACAATTAACTAACACACAAGGTAGCATGACGATCATCGATGGTGGAATTCGCCCTCAATGCAAATTAGCATTACGACACATTTCACGAATTGCTAAAGCAATGAACACACACGGACAATTACGAGATATAGTACAGGGAATTTGTTTTGTAACAAATCCAAACCATATAGCCGAAGCGCGACGCCAATTGGAACGTCGAACGACCAATGCAATTATGGATTATATTGTGGTGCCGGCATTGCCACGAAAAGCACTGGTTGAATGGCAAGTTTGGGCTCATTCACACAACGACAAATTCGACTGTAAGTGCCGTCATATTCTTTTTTCTTTTCTTTTCTGCTAATAATTTTCGTTTTTTTTAGACGAGGAAACTGGTTGTTCTGTTGGAGATTACACGGTATCTAGCCGACGTCGTTGGAACTATGAGAATAATTGTGCAGCTATTGTGTGTTATGTTTCAACGGGTTTGGCGACATCATCAACTCAATTGACCGATTTATCCGATGACATTATCCAAAGACATCAAAAACTAGCCATTGGTCTTACCGTTGATAATGTCAACGACATTCTCCAATATATTGTAAATAAATTGCTTAAATCCAATGGTGTTCCATCGGCGGATTCAGCACAAAAGCAATCATCATCAAATCCAAGCAATACTGGACTACCAGCCATACATTTGAAAGTATTCTATCAAGTCAGGTACGAATCATTCGATTAAAACGAACTCATGTGAATACGTTTTAAATATCGTATTTTTCTCAACATTTTAACAGTGCAACGCCACCGATTGGTCTCCTGACACGTTCAATTGCCGAATTCGCCGAACGAATCAGTAATCTAACATCGATAGCATTCTCCGTATTGCCGGCGAGCAGTTTGCACAATTTCAGTACATTTTTATCGATTTATGGCATTCGACATTTATAATAGTTATTAAGAGCAAAACAATCAGAGCGTTACTAAAAAAACATACCAAATAAATTTCGAGCGTTGCTTTTCATATTTGTCATGCCACCAAGATGGGAGAGAAAAGAGTTGCTGGCCAGTGATAAGCGCTCTTCAATGATTTTCATTGTGAATGGATGTGATTTGATTTATTATTGATGATATTGTGTTTTTTTTTTGTTTTCTTCTAAATGGAGCGAGTCGTTTGAAACGAAGCATAAAGACAAATAATAAGAAATTGATTAATATTATAGATAATTGAATAAGACGATATGAAAATCAGTTTGATTTAACACATTGTATTTGAATTTGAGTTTGACCATCGTTTTGTCTTACATTCACAAAGACACACACACACACACACAATACTTTATTAAAATTAAGGATATTTTTGCGCCAATTTTTGTGTATCAAATGAAAAACGAGTTATTTAATTAAACAACAAAGTCTATGCATGTGTTATTTAAAACGAAACAACAACAAATAATGCTGTTTTTTTTCTACGAGCTAAACATAAAATGATATATACACGGGATATATTAAAGTTTTTTTGATTGATTTACAAATATATATATATTTCCATTGCACAACACAGACACACTCATACAAACACAATTCAATTGATTAGATTTACTTTGATTTGTGTGCGAGTTTATTACACATCCCATTGATTTTTGATTGATTGCCAACAATCGTTTAGTATATTTATTTAAAATGTGCCTACTAACGAAAAACGAAAAAAATAAATAAAAATATGTACGGGTATTAGTCCCAAGTGCTGGTTTGATTTGATATCAGGCAAAACAAAGAAAATCGTTAGAATTCACCCATTCATTTGCTCAGTCTAATATTTTGAAAATAAAAAGAACTTTTAAGTTATGCGATGTGTTCGAAACTAGACCAAAAAAAACTAGAGAGAAAGAGCAAGACGGAAACACACTTTTTTGTATCTTTACTAAATAACGGTTATATGATTACTAACATTAAAACTAATTACATTTGATATTGATGTATTGCTAATGAATTTTTTCCAGAAAAAAAAATCGAGAAAAAAAATATTACAGCACAGTTCATATTCGCTTTTTATTTGTTTTTCTTTTCTTTTTTTAACGTTTTTCTTTGAATAATATCTTTCTTTGAGCTGTCAAAAGTGACATTTCCACACTGACAGTTCGATCAAATTAGACAGCAAAACAATGTACGTTGGTGATACAGTTCATACTTTGTAGTTGTTTTTTACATAATGAAAATGGCAAGTGCAAAGCAAATTTTCGATTCATTGCCTGGAATCTGGAGAATAACACGAGAAACACTGACACCATTAAAACAATGGCAAAATTCAGGAGCAGAGTGTATTAAAGCTAATGGCTTTGCGGCATTTACATCAACCGAATCGGATCCAAATTTGTTGATTTATTCCGAAAAAGTTCGAATCAATAGTGGTATTGATGATAATAACAGTGGCATGAACGGACTCGAAGCCAAACAAAAGTACAAATATCGTTACGACAACTTAACATCATCCGTGAACAAATATTTCTTTGATGATCGACTATTTTATACGCTAAACATTGACAACAAACACGACAATGAGCTAGCAACAGAAGCGACCGCTTCGAATGTTATCACGGTTGGATGTGGCACACATTTATGTATTCAAGATCTTTATGAAGCCAATTATTCGTTCCATAATGATAAATACTTTGAATTGAAGTACACAATAAACGGGCCAAAAAAATGCTACGAAATTATCAATACCTATGAAAAATGTACGACCCATGAAATTAATGAAATCGGCATTCAAATTGAAAATGGTGAAATTTTATAATAAAAATGTTTACAATGAAATCTGGCATTTTCATTCATTATTCAAGCACTGACACTTATTGTGTTATTATTGTGTTTTTCAATTGAAAACTTGATACGAGTCACATAAAACGTGAAAGATTCACTTTTAATGCAATTCAGCCACAATTCAATTGAAAAGAACACCATTTTTAGAATTAAAAAATCTAATTTTTCATTATCTCTTTAGATCGAGAACGTTCTAATCTCTTTAGATCGGGACTCTGAGGGTATTTTTACGGGGAATCCAATAGTGGGGTCAATTTTGGAGTCGGGGTCGATTTGGATACCATTTTGACGATTTTCTTCAAATTTTAGTACTTTTTTCGAAGTTTGGACCCGTGCCGCCCGATCTAGGTCTCCCTGGGGGGTCAAATCAATATGCCAGTGTATATGGATATACGCGACTTTCATGAGAAGAAAAATATAGGCCCATTTGATCTTTATAAGTTAAAAAACTAGTTTAAGGGTCAAAGGGATGGTCAGAGGGTCATGCAATGTGACCCTAAGGGTAATTTTTTACGAGAAATCCAAAATTCGGACTCGTGTCTCCCGAAACTGAGTCTCCTCTGGAGTCAAAGCAATATGTCACTGACATAATGTCAGTGGATAGAACATGGATAGACGTACCTTTCGTGGGAAGAAACATATATGCCCATTTGACCTTCAAGGGTTCAAAATCCGTTTAATAACTTTAGGTTTTCCTTTTGGGTCATTTTTTGCCACCAGGGAGGGGTCGGGGGTGGTCAACGTGGTAGCAAAAAAATTTCGTTTCATTAGGAGCTACAACTTTGCCAAAGAATGTAATCAATTATCTCCAGTAGTTTATGATATAGATCATCATGGAAACGCCGAGGGGCTTAAAAACGTCAAATATGAAAAGTCGCACAAATGCTTCAAAAATCGGGGTGTTACATATTGAAAGGTTTACTGGTGAATTTAAAAAAACAAATAAGTTGGTTATGTTTTCAAACAGAGAATGAATATATACTTTGACATTGACATTTTTCTCCACAAAAATTCTACACGCCAAATGTCAAATCGCAATGGAAGTGTATTCCAAGTAAGCGATGCATACCTATATACATTTGAAATATATTCATAAGTTGACTTGTAAGTTGATAAACGTATAATTATCAAAGACGCAATGATTACGCCTTTGTGAGAAAACTCGAGCCATTTCTTTTCGTTAAAATTTAAAACAAGAACCCATCACGCACTATATATTTTGGACTGTTTGTCATGCGATAAATATAAATCTTAGTCATATGCAATGAGTAATTCTCTCTTATGTTTCTCTGTGTTGATTCTCTGTGTTAAAGAAGAAATAAAAGACAGAATGCATTTTTGATTCATATAAATTACATTTATTTCTAATTAATTTCATTATAATAACTAAGGGTTTTATTTCATAAAAATAGAAGATAATTTTATATAAATTGTTTCGTTTTTTTTCATCTAATTTGTTTTCTTTAGAAATTAAAATGAAATTCCAAATTATTTTTTTTCTCTTTTTTACAATATAGAAACACACCGCTATAGTGAACAACATCAATCAATGCATTTGAGTAAAATGTTATTTAAAAATCAAATTTCTTTCAAATATAAGACGTTTGATGTTTTATACATTACGCTTGTTTCATTCAGTGCTTAACAATTTATGATGGCAAAATAAAATAGGTTTTCGATAAATTAATATTAAATTTAAAATAAAAAAAATACATTAAGACGAGTATTAAGGAAACAAAATGCAACATTTTTCTCATTTATGTATGTCATTTATATATATAGAAATATAAGCAAAATTGTCGGTTGAGAAAATGCCGCCGGACTCAGTACGATCTACTACAGAAAATACTTGTTAACAAAACATACAAATATATATTGGCTAATTGTCATTCAAAAAAAAATTGGTATAAATCATGAAAAGAACATCATAAGTGGTACACAAAAAATGCAATCAAACCAAGCAAATTTATAATTGAAAAACCACTGAAAAATGTCATTCAAATAACCGTTAATGATTTGATTTTTCGTTTTTAAAAAACTGTCTTGCTCAAATTGAAATATATTAACCTGTAAATTCGTGTTTAACAAGAGAATTAATTATCATTGTTTTAAGTCACTCAAAGCGCAGTGTTATTGAATGAAAGTCATTGCGGATGTCAAATTTAAATAGATTTTACAACGCGTGCCACAACAAAAAAAATTATGTTCAAATTCAGATTGATTGTGCTTGTTTTATTACTATGATCAAATGTGAATTTCAATTTGGACTCGTCACTTTGTGCAAATAGAGAAAAATGCATTTAGTAAGATGACATAGCCCACATTGAAATGGTTTTGTTTTTATCGTGATTCATTGGAAAAAGAAAACTCGTTCGATGATATTGAGTTTTTCCCTTTCATTTTTCATGTAATGTGCACAAAAGTCTAGAATAATTGTATTTATGGCTTAGTTTTGTTATTGTTTTTCTTCTAATTAGAAAATTATTGTATTAAAACGAAACCGAATCTCAATTGAGTACAAAGAATAATAATAATAATCGGAAAACGAACATTTTCATGGAGTAAAACGGTGTTCGTGTATGCATGACACAATCGGTTAACAAATTAAAAATGAAATAAAACAAAACATGTCTATAGTGAGTCCTAATATGCATGCGGCAATATTGTGCCTTTTGTAAAAAAATTACATCTTTATCTACTTATCATCTGCTTTAATCATTTTATGTACACAAATACAATTTATTGTTTCACATTTGCACTTTGATGATACATTTCGTACGAACTAATGTGTTTTTGTGTGTGTGTGTGTGTGTAAAAAAATAATCGCTGAAGTGAATTTTTTTGATTTGTGTCTTTTTTTATTCCTGATGTATGGCTGTTACAGCAACGTGTCGTTTATATGTGTAGTAATAATAGAGAGCAAAATCAATGACGCAGATATTTTGTACTTTTTCGCTTCAATGATTTTAAAATGATTTTTTTCCTTCTTCATTTAGCTAATTATTTATTGACCGAATCCATTCAGTTGAAACTGAACAAATTCAGACAAATGACTTAAATAAAACATGCAAAATTGTGATGACAAAAGTAATTAGCATTGGGAAGATTGCACGAGAATCGACAAAATAATTGAGCATAAAAAATTTATTGCTTTCAGCGTATTTTATTCAAAATTGTTTTTCTTTTTTTTTTAATTGAGAAGAAAGCACCTGAGTTCTCAAAATTCAATATGAGTGTTTGTGTGAAAGTGCAAATAGATTTTTTAAGTCTAGTCATTTATGTTGACTCATTGTGTTGAGTCGAAAACAACTGTATACAATTCACATTTCATGTGTTGTTTGTGATCAAAATGATTAACGTACACACCACATCTATTAGCCGACCATCATTTTGGACATTCGTCTCTTTTCTTTGTTTCACAATGTCATTTGTTTTTGTGACGTTTCATTCAACCAATATGTCGTCTACGTATGTGTGTGTGTCTTCCTTGTTAAATTTCGAACAAATCTTTAAACATCTCATTTCTTCACACCAATCAGGTAAAAAAGTAAATAGGTTTCATTTAAAATAACGATTTTTCATTTAACTTCATATTATTATCAACTTAAAAAAATATGTTCATTCTTTCTTCTATATATTACATTTTCATCTAATAAATCACACTTAAATCGCTTTTTTTGTTTGTTTGTTATATAGTTGTAGTTTATTTTTTTGTTTCGCTAGGGTAAATTCTTTTAAAACGGTTTGGTTCTTAGTTCGTTTCTCCTTTTAAATATTTGATAAGATCTCTCCTAATTCATAAATGCACATCATGCACAATCGGAAGTGCATGGAATATTGTTGTGTTGTTCAACGCACATAAACCATATTTATATATGTATGTGAAATAGGAATTTACAATTTATATGATTGCGCCGCACTAAATTTAAATTATTATTTTATTTGGGGCTAAATGTGTTTGATGCAAATGAATCTCCGAATGACCGATATTCGATGCATTTTATTTCACCTGTATGCATTGTTATTTGTTTGTTTTATTTATTTCCAATTTCATTCTCCCTCTTCACACGATTGCATTTTCTGTATGTGTCGATGTGTTAGGTTTTGCTTGTGTGCGACATACTGTTCTCTTCGGATAGGTACATGGCATAAATATTGTATATTGGCTAGCTTGTCACACCATGATTATAGTGTTCAGTATTTACAATAACCTGTACAATGTACTGCGGTTGGATTTGTGCGTCCTCGATCAACATTTTATCGCCCAACAATTTTCCGCTGTAAAACCATCGCTGACAACATGCATCTACATTCTCTTGTGCCTGTGTGAAAAGAAACAACAACACCAACAACAATTATAAAACTAAATAAATTTGAATTGTAGTGACGCGTGATTATTTTTAATTTGGTTAAATAAAAAAAGGAATGATTCATTTATAATTGATTATGCACGACTATATAGATGTGTTCACTCACTTGTAATTTCTTTTTACATTGACCGATTGTGTCTTTTGAATAAACGGTTAATTTTGTATCGGAAAATGATGACGATAAACGTAATTTCAATATAACTTCGATGCCACCATCGACTGGCTCTGAATATTCAGCTGGTGAATCTCGACCATTGTCCTCTTTCACAATGTTTATAGGATACGATAGACAATATATAGGTACTTTGTATTGTGTGCCTAGTTCATCATAACATTCCGTTAAGTAGCTGCAATGCGAAATTACCATGTGAAACGATTTAAATGAAATTGTTCATAAAACGTTAGTCGCCACTTACCCATTTGGTACGGATATATTTGCACCGTCTAATATGGCCTGTGACAATTGAAAATCCAATGCTTCGGCAGCAACAGTTGCGGCACGTAAAGCATCCCAAATTTCTTTGCGGCCATCAAACGCTGGTGCGGTGTCCCAGAATTCATCACGTTTTGATCTGAGTTGTCCTTCGGTCAACGGCACATCCGACTTCCAACGTATTGTCTCATGACACAGCGGATGATTCTTTCGCGGTGGTCCACCGTTTCCACCTATTAAATTTCCTAATTAATCAATTAAATCAATTTTTTTATGTAATCGTCGAAAAAAAAATTTAAACTTTCAATCGTCAAATCAACACAAATTGATCGAAGAACAACAAAATGAAGTGATTTAGTTTAAATGTTATGAATTTAGATCAATATAATAATGAATAGGTTGCAGCAATCTTATCACCGTAAATGTCATAAAAAATCAACTCAACACCAATTGAACGAAACAAAAAACAAAAATTGTCTTTCGTTTTTATTTGAATTCAATGTTTAATAATACACTTACCCGAAAGCGGTCGCGATACATTTAATGACGATCCATTTGCAGTATCGCCATCGTTGCGATTAATTCCAATACAACCACCCATGTTTAGTGTGAAATCGATCCGTCAATCTGTCACCAATAGTTTCAACACAATGAATGAAGAAACTTAGGGAGCGACAGAAAAAAGACACACAAACAAATAATAAATCGGCACTTGGTCACACTCACTTTTCTCTCACGATTACTCTTCTCTTTCTTTTTTTGACTTGATAATAATTTCCTTGATTATTAATAATAATTCTGTTTGACTTATCGCTGATATTTTTCCTTGTTTTCAATTTGTTGATTGAAACGATTTGGTGTGTCATTTATTAGTTCACAATACTTAAAGTTGTATGTATTTGATTGAGCTCTAGTCGAATCTAGCAGCGTATGCATGCAGAGTGTGAGACCTTCGATTTCAATTCGAATTCAGTCTATAGTCGCGCGCGTGCTTTGCCATCCAATTCGCTTCGTACGCGCACTCAATAAATGTGTGTAAACGCAAATATTAACACCTTGTAATGATTGGAATGATTGTTTATTTTGCGCTTATTACTTCATGCACTTCAATTAAAACAAACAGAGAAAAAAAAATATGAAACTAAAACAAAACGGAAAATGAAAGACACATCCGTCACACCACCGAACGCAAACGCAAATACACACGGGCACACACCGCCGTAAATATAGCGCACACACACACACACACACCGATCACTAGTTAATACCGACAATTATATCGGATAAACGCCAAAATAAAATCGCACTTTCCAACATATACTATTTGTATTTTCACGGCATAATAATAATTTGTCTCTTTTCTTCTTCTTCTTCTTCTTCTCTTGTGTTTGTTTTTCTTTTTCTCTCTCTTCCAATTTGATTTTGGTATGTAATATATATTAATTATGTGCTCACACCCCAGTCTCCAGTCGAAATTGTTGTTTAGTTTCACCAGCAATTTCAATTTGTTGCCTTTGTTTTTGGTGTGCAAATTAAAAAATTTTGATTAATTTATTTTAGCTTTGTTCGGTCATTTATTCACTTTGCGATACCGAAATGAATTGAACGGAGTGAATTGATGAAGCCCAAAAACAGCTTCAATGTTTTGTTGATGTTGCGAAAAATGGAATTCGTATATTGGTTAACATTTTTCTTATCGGTGTAAATTCAATACCGCACTTCCAGCAAAAATTCATTTGTTTGCTCACATTCACTGCCAACCTTGATTGCAATTCCATACACAATTTACGTATTTTCAAATTCACCGTCATCGATACAAAATCACACACCAAATATTAATCACGAATTATTATTTATTTATTTTTAAATTGGATTCGATTATTTGCTTCTGGTTGGATGTTCGTCGTTCTTTTAGACTAAACTAAAATGACGGCATTTGAGAACACATTTGAACAGAAGAAAAATTAAAATTCAGTGGACTAATGAAAGAAAAAAAAAACTTAGAGAGAAGAATCAGAGGAATTTTTGATGGTGTTACAAATGTGTATATATGCGAATGCCAATGGGCTATAAGTTTGTGTAGTATAGAATGTCAAATGTCGTCAATGTGGTGGCCTCACACAAATTTCATTCCGAAGCATTGTGATTGCAGTGAAGTTGGTCACATTACACACTACCAAGCTCTACACACAATTCAAATTATACATTCCAAATTGAAATTTTGTCTCGATTTTAAATAAAAAGAAAAGAAAAAACATTTTTAATTTCATTCTTTGATGGAATTTTTTAATCAAATTTTTTTTATTGAAAATTCCATAAAACTTTAACATTTTCTTCGTATCGCCTAGTCTAGTGCAACGAATACGAATCGGACCACTTTCAAACACAACTGCATGACATTGTCAAATAGTCTAAAATGACGTTTCAGTTTCGATAGACAATAGTCTTTGTGAATATTTGACATTCAAAAAGAAAAACATTTTTCTTGGTGGTGTTCCACAAAGATTGCGTGAATGAACACATTTCTTTGACGGTGATTTGTTTATATTTTTAAATTAATAACGCAATCATTATACAATTCGAAAGGACTTGATTTTGAATGTGATGAGCCTTCATTGATTTTTTGATTTACAAAATGATTTCGTCCTTATATATCATTCATTTTAATCTCATGTGTAAAAATGAATTTATTTAATTCTTTCTATTTTTAAATACGGCAGAGTATGTTTGATCCTTATCAGTAAACCTTTCAATATGTAACACCCCGATTTTCGATAAGAGCTGTGAACTTACAGTTCATATTTTGTAGTTGTTCCTTACATAATGAAAATGGCAAGTGCAAAGCAAATTTTTGATTCATTGCCTGGAATCTGGAGAATAACACGAGAAACACTGACACCATTAAAACAATGGCAAAATTCAGGAGCAGAGTGTATCAAAGCCAATGGCTTTGTTGATTTATTCCGAAAAAGTTCGAATCAATAGTGGTGGTGATGATAACAGCAGTGGCATGAACGGACTCGAAGCCAAACAAAAGTACAAATATCGTTACGACAACTTAACATCATCATTAACCAAATATTTCTTTGATGATCGACTATTTTATACGCTAAACATTGACAACAAACACGACAATGAGCTAGCAACAGAAGCGACCGCTTCGAACGTTATCACGGTTGGATGTGGCACACATTTATGTATTCAAGATCTTTATGAAGCCAATTATTCGTTCCATAATGATAAATACTTTGAATTGAAGTACATAATAAACGGGCCAAAAAAATGCTACGAAATTATCAATACCTATGAAAAATGTACGACC